CCCCGGGGCGCGGGGGTGCATGCCCCCCAGGGAGGAACAAGGCTGGCCTCCCGGGGGCCCACTAGCTGCAGCGTCCAAGGAAGCAGCAGCAGGGCTGTTGGGGTGTTTGAAGGACCTCTGTGAGAAGCGTGAAGAGCCTGCCGGGGCTGGGTCCCCACTGACTGGGGTGGGGGACTTGTGACGTGGGCCAGAATGAGGACCGTGACCCAGCAGCCTCAAAACCTGTGCTCCTTAGTCTTCTTATCTCTAGAATGGGAGCGCCAGTCTCTCCCGGCCTCAAGGCCCTGTCAGAATGGACGCAGTCCTACCCTGCAGCCTGGAGGGCTCGCTCCCCTGCTCCCAGCAGAGGTCCTGAGGCCGGTGAAGCCCTGGCGGCGTGATCCAAAAGGAGTTGACAGGCTGCAACCTCCTGCTGTGTGTGTGCTGCACTCCCCAGAGAACCTGTCCCTCCAAGACCAAGGGAGAATGTGGGGATGCCCAGCCAGTCCTCACCAGGGCTTGTGCCCCGCTCCGCTCGCACAGGGCTCTCCCTCTCTCCTGCTCCTTCTCCCAGGGCTCTTGGGATTGTCAGGCAGGCTGCATTCTGGGGCAACAGGCCTCGGGGGACAGGAGAGGGCCTTGGGGGAGAGCACCTTACCTCCTGCCCGGGCCTGGGCTGGTCTCAGACAACTCAGTGCTGGCTGTGTTGGTGGTCCTGTCTCCCTGGGAAGCTTCTCACCTCCCAAGGCCTCAGCAGCCCCAGGTCCCTGGGCAATGGCTAGGCTGTCGCACTCAGCTCCTGTCTGCCAAGGCAGGCCCTCCATGATGCCATGTCACTGGGACCAGGGCATCTGGTGACACCAGGGCTCACAAAGGGCCTCAGGATGACCACAGTTTGAAGGACTTCCATCTTTTGTGGAGTGAAACATCTCAGGTTATAGTGGGAAGATCTACTTGGGGGTGTGTTTCCCCATGAACCAAGGAATGTCCAGCCCTGCGAGGCGCCCAGGATGCTCTAAATACAGGTGCCAAGAAGGTCTGTCTGTCTGTTCTACAGAGGGGTCATGGGTCATGAGGGCAGAGGGCAGGGAGCGCCAGTGCAGGGGGTATCTGACTTCTGGGCTGCATGGGAAGCTCCACGCCCTGACCTGGAGGAGCAGATATGCACAGTCACACCGGGTCTGGCTCAAGCCCCGGGCCTTCCCATGAACTGGTGGCCACCAATGCATTCACATTCCAGCTCCCCTTTTAGTGGATGAGAGTTAAAATTCCCTACTGATGAAGTGACTCTCCATCGCCTCCTCTTGGACGGTGCCGGTGACCTGCCCGCTGAAGGACACAGGAGGTGATGCGCTGCCCCAGGCCCGCCACCAGGGGGTGCACTGAGCAAGCGCCTCTAACCCTGAGGGAGCAGCTGGGGGTGTCCAGGGCTGGGGCAGGAGCAGCTGGGGGTGTCCAGGGCTGGGGGCAGGAGCACCTCCGAGCTGTGGCGGTGCGGCTGGGTGGAGGGGGGTGTGTGTCCTGAGCTGACGGCAGCAGATGTGCCTTCCACACGGCCGTCCAGGGTGGTAGCAGGAGGAGACCACAAACCAGCCGCCACGGCCGGAGCAGCATAGATAGGTCCACCCTCAGGGGCACAGTAACCTCTGAGGGCTTCAACCAGGACGCACCCCGGAGTCCTTCACACATACGTTCAACTACAAAATAGGGCTGAGGATAGAACCCACCCTGTAGGTTGTTGTGGAATTAATGACTTAAAATTTGCAAAACTGCCAAGACAGAGTCCTGTGCCTGATGCAGAGCCAACACCTGCTCTGTACTGTGGCTGTTGCCATCATGACTGCTCGGTGGCTGGGCACTGTTTTCATATCACATTTATCTTTGTGATGCCCTGTGCCCTGGGCAGTGTGGCAGGAAGGTCATTTCTCATTGCAATGAAGTTAGTTTCTCCAGAACAATGTGTAGATAAATTAAGATACACTGGACATCCACTGTCTCCCCGCCCTCCCCCCGGGAAGGGAAACACCAAGAGGTGGAGAGTGTGCTTCAATCACCATGTCTGGCACACAGATGAAGTCAGGAAAATGCTTGTGACAGAATGACAACTTGTAAACAAATAAACAGGTGCGATGTGATGCCAATTTTGGAAACGAGCTGCATTTATCCATCTGTCTCCATACATAGCTCTCTCTCTCTCTCTCTTTGAGAGAAATACATGAAAATTCTAACAGAGAGTCTAAAAGAGAGAACAAATTCAATGGTTTTTGTTAGTCCCCACAAGGAAGATGCATATTGGCTTTGAAGTGAAGGGGACAACATTGAAAGGCTGGAGGCAAGGAGTGTGTGGGGCCCGGCAGCGGAGTGGGACGGTGTGCCGCCCATCCTGGCCCTGCCCCAGGAGGGTTCTGTGGGCCTCTCACAGAGTAGGTGGAGGCCGGCAGAGTCAAGGACGAAACCAGGTCAGGCTGGGAGCCATCACCTGGGGGGCCATCAGCCAAGCCTGTGACAAAATGGCAGCAGTGAGCCGCATCAGTGTCCCCGAGGACCAGGGGCCTCTGAGCAGGGAGGCAAGAGGAGGGTTCCCCTGGCCAGCTTGGCATTCACATCCCCCAAAACTGCATGGCCGTCTTGCGGCCTGGCCAAGGCCTGCCCAGCAGGGGTCCCGTCCTGCCCTCCACCTGCTGGCCACTGCCCCCTGGCTGAGCGTCTGAGCACAGGCCGGGCAGCAGCAGCTTGGCTGTACCCTGGGCGGCTGCCGAAGGCCTCGAGCTGAACGCTCTGGTTTCCTTCTGGCTTCCAAGCGTGCCATGTCCCCGGCAGTGAGTGCTCGGCCCCTACTGCGCGAGAACAGGTGTCCTCAGGGCTGAGTGCTCTTGCTCGGTGTCCACGCCTGCTCCACCCCACCTCGCCCCCGGGACTGGTGCATTTCTCTGGCAAGAGAGGGCTGTGCCTGCTCCATGGAAGCCTCGGCAAGGGCAGAGGTGCACGCCTGGGATGAAGGCTTGACATTTTCCTGTGTCCCCTCCCACAAGATCCTCTGGCTTCCAGGGCCACCCCTGCCGGCAGCTCAGGGACGTGGCATGTGGCTAGGAGACTGGAGCCAAAACCACCACATCTGCAGGCCAAGCCTCTCCAGTTACCCCCAGGCCTGCCCTAGACTGGTTCCCCAGCAGACAGCCCCAGGCCATATGGAACAGAGCTACCTCAAACCTTGAGGTTCAGAGGCTTAATGAAAAGACTCATGCATCTTAACTGCTGAAAGGCTGCAACCAAGGTAGCCATGCTGTGCACACGTGGGGCCTCCCTGCTTCCTAGGCCCTAAGAGGCCAGCAGCCACTCACCATGACAAGGGATGAACGACAGACGAATGGACAGCAGGCCACCCAGGCCCTGTCTCCCTCCTGGCCTGCAGCTGAGCATGGTCACAGAGGAACCAGCAAAGCCACTCTGGCAGTGCTGCTCTGTGTGGTAGTACCCCTGGGACCCAGACATGGAGGTCTACTCCTCCCTCCTGGCCAAGCAAGGGGCAGCACAGCTGTCTCTGCAGAAGCTTCCTGGGTGCCGTTCTAGTTGGTGACAGCAGTTCAAATTTGGGCAGGGATAGGGCCTGCCTGTTTGGGGGCTGGGACACAGATGTTCCACATCTCCTTTCCAGGGGGACAAGCAGTGGCCCCTGTCCCTAGGGTGGCTGAGGTTCTCCGTGCGTCTGTGATCTGGTCCTGTGACAGCAAGGCTGCAGCCCCATACACCCGGCCAGGGAAGCCAGTTTCCATGCTTGCGTCTCAGCACGCATTTTCCAGCTGCTCTGAGGCTCCCTGTTCCCAGACGGACAGCATTGTAGCAGAGGAACCGTGGTGCCCAACCCACCTGCACACAAGATGGGCACCTGAGAGGTTCATCTGTCTGACCCCTCTGACCTCTGGGCCCAGATATTCCTCACCCTCAGATACTGCGTGTCACCAGACCACGTGCTCCTGTATGCTTGTGTGTGTGCATGCACGTGTGTATATATATGTGGGTGTGCTCTGTGTGCAAGTATATATGTGCCCGTGTCCATGTGCACGTGTGTGTGCGTGCATGGTGTGTAGATGTATGTATCCATGCACAATGTACACTATGTGTACATGTACACATGCATGTGTGAGTGTGCATGTACACATGCTCATGCACTCAAGCATGCATGTGTGTGTATAAGAGTGGGCAAGGTGTGTGTGCTGCCTTCTCAGCATTTGGTTGGACCACATGAAATGAAAAAATATTTGCTCACTTGGCCTGTGGTGGTTTGAACAAACACAGTCTGAACCCCTTGTCAAGCTTCCTTTGTATGGTCCTCTGCCCCTGCCCCCTGTCCCTGCAAGCAGCATCTCCCGTAGCCTTGATGCCCAAGGCAGGGGCCCTTGTGAGGCACGGGCCCTGGGACCTCCACGTCCAGCTGCAAGAATGGCTTAGTTCTGGGCCTGCTCACATCTGGGCCTCGGGGAGCATGCTAGCCTCCCTCCAGGCTGCTCTCACTGGGGCCAAGTTTGCAGGCCATCTCTGAGAGTAGAGCCTACCCCCAGACCCCAAGGGATCTGACTTTGCTTCCGGGTGTTCCTAGGATCTGAAGGGTAGGGCTGGGTGATCACAGCTGCCATCGTGCACACGTGATTTGGGAGGCACAGCCACCTGTCCCTGAGCTCACCCCCCTTCCCTCCATCACATTTCGGAGAATTGTCAAGCGGGACCAGAGAAGGACAACGCCTTCTGTTCACACTTTATTGTGTCTTTTTAAAAGATGGCATCATGGCTTAGCCAGCAGATCAGTGGTTCACACCTGGGTGGTCATCAATGTCCTGAAAGGGTTTGAATGCTGTTTCTCAGGGCTGCTTGTGGCATCCCCAACCCCATCCCTTCGTCCCACCATCCCAGGTCTCTGCAGGACTGAGAGGGCTGGGAGGTCAGGAGAGCAGCCCCCTCTATTCTCCCTCCTGCAGAGGTAGGCCTCCACCCAGTCCCAGTGCAAACTACCTTGTCCCAGGCTGCTACACGCTCTCCTTCGCCTTCCTTCTGGTGGAGTACGGGATGCAGCACACCCAGCTGGTCTTGGTCCTAGAGGCCGAGAGGAGGCCACAGCAGATGAGAGCCAGGCATCCCCCCACCCCCTGAGTTCAGAGCCTGGGCCAGAGGCAGCACCCCTCCCCACAGGTGCATGCCCCTATCGAGGCCCAGCTTCCTGCACACACCAGCAGACTCCCGTGCAAAGCTGGGCTTGCCTTCCCACCAGCTGTCCAAGCTTTCTCCAGCCCTCCCAGGGCCTTCATCCTCTGCGCTGGGAGGCCTAACCGGAGGGGCTCCTTGACCATGAGAGACCTCATAGACCAGCCAAACCAGAACGCTCCCCTCGGCCCCAGAGACAGGCCATCTCCAGGTGTCCCCACACCAAGCCCTGTCCATTCTCAGAAGACCATGGCCTCTGCTTTTCCCTCTGGGGTGTGCTCCGGGGTGTCCACTTCCAATCACAGCTGCCTCTGGGATAAGTCAGCTGTCCTCCTTCCCTTTGCAGGGACCCCCACAGTGACTGTGAACAGAGCTGGACAGAGAGCCTCAGCTCTGCAGAAAACCAAGATGGCAGGACAGCAGAGCAGCAGGACAGACTGCCCACCTACCCCTAGTCCCCTACCCACTGGCCAAGCGGCCGCCAACAGCCAAGGCCCGGTTCTGTGGCCCGTGGCCAGCGGGCTCTCTTGGGCAGCAGAGGCATCGGGTGCGCTGCCAAGACCATGGGGCCAGGTGGGCGGACTCGGGACTGTCCGGTCCCAGGGGCAGAAAACAAAGCCTCCATGCTGCTTCCAGTGTGGCTGAATCCACGACCACATCCACTCAGAAGCAATGGGAAACATCAGGATCTGCTTAGGAAAGACCCACCCATTCTCAGCCTAGATTTGGGAGTGTGGTAGGGATCCCAACATCTTAGCTGATGCAGGCGAGACCCCGTGTGAGTAGCAATGGGCAGGACACGGGCCATGTGCACGGACACGAGGTGACACTGCCTCACGGAAGCTCTCCCATCTACAGGTCTGGGGGAAGGTGGTGGTAGTAATGACACCTTCAAGGCCCAAGCAGCCGACGTGGAGCCCCTACTCGAGTGGGCGCTGTGTGCGTCCGGGCTCCAGCCCACGAGCTCCTGTGTGACCCTCAAGCTGTGAGCCGGAGTCTGGGTGACCTAGAAGCGTGTGAGTTCCAGTTATTTAAAAGGGCTGTGTGTCAGTTTTACCAAGTAATTTACGTTGTATCTAAATATCTCTATTAGAGACATTTTTCTTTTAAAAAATGTTTCAGCAAATGAGCCCAGATATTAAAATAGCTGTTGATTCCAAGAAGTGGGAAACAGGGTTAACTGTGATTTCCTTCTTACTGTTTCTCTACGTTGTTTAAAATAAAAACAGATCCACGGGCGCTTGGATGATACAGTGGCCTGCTCCCAGCACCCCTTATGGCCTCAGGACTTCATAGGCCTAAGCTGGCCCTGCCCAGTGTCCACCCTAAGTGGGTCTAGGCAGTCAGGACAAATGTGCCTCCCACCCCAGCCCTCGGGCCTGGTCCACTCTGCAGACACTCTGGCCGATGGTGTGCCCCCCGCCCCCCAGCAAAACCCCAAACTGACCAGCTAGAACCATCCACACGGCAACACTTTCCTCTCACCTCCTCGGCCTCCTCCCACCTCTCTCACCTCATAGTATGGCTGATCTGTTGGCTGATGGGATGGGGAGAAAGGGTCTGGCTGTGGGGTGAGGGGCACTCAAGGTAAGGGTTGTCCCTGAGTCCCACTGCTCGCCTGTCAGCCCTCCAGGCCAGTCAATGCCTGGTCTCTGCAGACATGGGAGAGGAAGGCAAGCAAGTAGCGGGTTCTGCCCTTCCCCCAGGAGGCACAACGGACCCAGCAGACACCGTGGTGCAGGAGAACCCCCACCTCTCCATGTAGAAACCCACAAGCATCACTCACTCGTCTTCTGACAAATCCCCCACATCCATCTGGGACCGTTTCTCTTCTCTCACGGCACCTGTGACCACCTGTGGCGAGTGGCAGAAGCAGTTTAGGGAACAAGTGGAGGGAATCAACTCATCCACCACAGCCACCAAGGCTAGGCCTGCTAGACCTGCTCAAGGATCAGATGGGGGCATGGAGACAGTACCAGCACTGAGCATCTTCCCATGAGTTGGGGCACTGTCAAGGGAAAGTTTCCCCCAAAAGTAAGGGTGAGGGCACCTGTGTGGTTCAGTCAGGTGAGTGTCCGACTCTTGATTTCAGCTCAGGTCAAGATCTCAGTCAGCATCGTGAGATCAAGCCTTGAGTTTGGGCTTACACGCTTGGCATGGAATGTGCTTAAGATTTTCCCTCCTTTCCTCTGCCTTTTCCCCTGCCCCACTCTCTCTCATTCTATGTCTCTCTCTCAAAAGAAAAGAAAGAAAGAGAGAGACAGAGAGAGAGAGAAAGAAAGAAAGAAGAAAAAGAGAAAGAAAGAAAGAAAGAAAGAAAGAAAGAAAGAAAGAAAGAAAGAAAGAAAGAAGAAAGAAAGAAAGAAAGAAAGTCATAAGTTACTTCCTAATTAGGAGACCCCCGACCAAGGAACTATGCCTTTGATGTGCATCACTGTGACCTCCAGACTATAATCCAACTCTGCCACTGGATGACCTTCCTTGAGTCCTTAAAACCTGTGGTGATCCCAAGATAATCTTGTGAGGGGTTAATAACATGTTCACTGTACCACATGTTCTGAGGGCAAAGAGCTAGGAGGCACAATCTGGAAAAGAACAATCCCACACAAGAACTTAAATTTCCAAGATAGAACCTCAAAATACTTCCAGAGATGGCTGCCCACAACATCTGAGAAACAGAGGACATACTAGGACATTTGTGTTGGATGGTCCAGATAGGCCATTGGTCAACACCTTCGTTTTACAGAAAATGATGCTGTGACAATGATGATGGTGATGGTGGTGGTAGTAATGGTAGTGATGGTGATGGTGGTGATGGCAGTGTTGGAGGTGATGGCAGTGATGGTGGTGGTGGTGGTGGCAATAATGATGATGGTACTGGTGATGGTGGTGAGGTGGTAATGGCAGTGATGGTGGTGGTGGCAGTGGTGCCAATGATGATAGTTATGGTGATGATGGTGATGGTGGGGATGATAGTGATGGTGGTGGTGATAATACCTGATACTGAGGCTTTCTGAGTATAAGCACCATGCTGAGCTTTACGTACAACCCTGGGGATGTGGGTACTACTAAGATCCCCACTGTATGGATAAAACTGAGGCAGTGAGAGGTAGAGTGACTTGAGTATTTAGTGGCAGAGCCAGATGTGGACACCCAGTCTCTGACTCCCAAGCCTATGCCCTTTATACCACCCCAGTATGATCCTCGAAGAGGTTCTCAGGGCCCATGGGCACCCTGAAGGTTGACCCTGGCCCTAGAGTCTCTGATGATGCCAGAATGCATGCAGGTTGGAAGATAAGGAGGAGGCAAGGTGGCTGTTGAGTTCCCAGGCCAGTCGTCAGCATCCCAGAGTCCTCCTGGCACTGCTGGCCTGCCTCTACCTCAGCCTCCACGACATGCATGTGGGACAGGTTCCCTGGACAAGCTCCACGGGCCCTGAGCACCAGCATTCCTAGCAGGTGGTCTGAGGGCTTTTACCTCCTCGGCATGGTCTCCCAGATCAATCTCCACAAACTCAGATGGTTTCTGTGAATGGAAACCAAAGAGATGTGGATGGCAGTCCAGGGTGGGCTGGAGAGGAGAGGAGGCTCCTGGGAGGAGCAGTGGGCTCTGGGCCCTGGGGCAGCTGAGGTCTGCATGATTAGCACTGGGACCACCAGATGATGGCAGAGCTCAGTGAGGGCTCCTGGGGAGCTGCGCAGTGTGGATAGTGAGGTGACCATGGCCAGCTCTGGCCTCCCACCTCTCCCGACATTCTGTCAGGTCTCTGAGGCCCCAGGTGTCCCCTGGCTTCGCCCTAAGAGAAGCAGGGCCTGCAGGTCACAGGGCAATGCCCAGCGCTGGCCCACACCGGTACACTGCCCACGAAGCTCCTGGGCCCCCTGGGCCCTGCACTAGTGAGGAGTGGGGGCCTCAAGTGGCTCCAGGTGTTGCTGCCCCAGCGTCTCTAACCAGCCCAGAAGGGGTTTCCAATGGAAGCACTTCAGTTAGTGTGGAAGGTATTTGGGGATGAACCCTGGGAATCCCATTAGGGACCATCTGTTGTAGGTGCTGGTAAAACAGGTCCAGCCCCTTCTCTGTTCCTTCCCATGTGGACTTGGAAGAGAATGAGAGCCTCCTTCTCTTGGAAAGTGCCTGGTGAGAATTCATACCCCAGCTACAGTGGGTCCCTGGCCACCTCTTGTCATATGCTTTGGCAACTGCACTGTTTGGGATACTGGGCTTAGGATGCACAGCATCAGCTGGGAGCATAGAGCTTGACCCAAAGGCTTTTGGGCTATGGCAGCGCCGGGTCCAGCCTATGGCATGGCCCTACCAAGAGGCCCTAAGACCACATCTGCATACCCTTCTTGTGCTCACATGGGAACATGCCTGAAGGGACCTCCCTGTTACCAAAGTCAAAGGCCCTTGCCTCTTTTCCTGGAGGCTCATCCAGCTTGACGGACTCTGGTTCCTGTTCCTGGGGAAGAAACCAAACAGGTAAATAACAGCGGGACCCGAGAACGACGGACATGTGTGCCCATACAGGTGTGCCCAGCCAGTGCTCCCACTCTTGCCACTGGCCTCTGGGCGGCAGCCCTTCCCCTCTGGCTCCGTCCTTCCTCCATCAGTGTCCAACTTCTCAAGGGCATCCTGATTCTTTTCCTGCTTGTCCTCCTCTGGGTCTGCCTGACTGTAGGAGGAGCAGGGGCAGTGGATCAGGATGGGTACCGAGGAGACGCAGCTTCGAGCTGGTCCTTCCTGCCCCTGGGCGTTGGGAGAGCTCTGGGATGTGCCTTCACGGAAGCTGGGTGTGGAAGCCTTCCTCCTGCCCGGGGTTGGGGTGAGGGTAGGGACTCTGGGGGAAGAGGCAGTGCTACTTGAGGATGGTTCTTGGCAATGATGGTAGTGCCAGGGGCCTGTCCACCAATGGTGCTGCACATCCAGGACTTCCCCAACAAACTAGACCTCTGCGTGCCCAGGGGTCTGGAGAGCTGAGTGCAAACATTTGCCAAGACAGGCATCAGCTCTGAGACTCTAGGCCATGGCCAGCTGCAGGCCTGCCTGGGGGAGCAGGAGTAGGGGCTGGGGAGGGGGTGGCTGGCAGCCCTGGGAAATCCTCCCCTCGGAGCTTTCACGGTCTTCTCAGGACCCCTGTGCCACCCTCATGTCTCTGGAAACCACCTCTGCTGGATACAGACCACTCACCAGCTGGCATCTTCAAAGTCACTTCGTAGGTCCCTTCCCTGGTCCTCAGACTCTGGGGAGGAAGGAGCGGCAGTTGTCAGCTCCCATCCCTGGACCCTCTGGCCTGGCCCCATGAGGATGGGGCCCAGATTGGGGGAGTCCCCTCAGCTGCTGCACTTGTCCCTGCCAGTGCCTTGGTCCCCCCTTGTCCAGCTCGACACACCCGGGGCCTGAGAGGCACATAGTCCAGCTGACTGGGAAATTACAAAGCGGAAGCTGGGTGTGGAAGGCTGGGGAGACGCCTCTGAACACCTCAATACCACAGAGAAGATGTCCTTACAGAAGTGGGTGCGTCTATTCGGCTCCCAGGCCTTAGGGCTGGGGCACCTGCTGACACAGGAGGCAATGACCAGGCTTGGGTTGGTAGCCTGCACACTACTCCTGCTTCTCTGCAGGAGTCCCTGACACCATCCCTGCCCTGGGCCTGGTCTCATGGGGAGCCCCGCCCCATGGAAGGTGACCTGCCTCAGCAGGAGATTCGTCTCAGACAGGCCTCCAGGGGGTTACGTGCACCCCTCTCAGGCTCATCTGAGTTCCCTGCGGGGAAGACCTGGGGTTGTCAGCCCTGCTCCTGTTGGCTGCACCTGCACAAACTCAGCGACATTGGCTCCTCTGTGCAGACACCACCACTCTAGAGCCAGAGCCTCACAGGCAATGGGCAGGGGTCCAAGGGAGCAGGGGTGCAGGGGTGCTGCTCTCACGTCTTCAGAGAGCATTCTGGAGCTCGGCAGCTGTGGAGCCGTCCCTCAGGGATAAAGGGCCCAGCCAGTCTCCACCTCAGAGAACAGGACCCGAGTGACTCGGAAGCTGTGGTTTTCTAGTAGGGATTTTACAATTGATTTCTTGTGGAAAATCTTGATCTGCCCCTACCCGTGGGTATGTGTGTCCTCATATTTTACAGGGCACAGGCTCATCCCTGAACCTGCTCCATCCTATAATATGTATCTGGCAAAAAGGAAAGAATCAGTAAAAAGAGAGACATGATATGTTTTCTGCAGTGCATCTTCTTCCTGACAGAAGCTACATCTAGTGTTCGCAGGTTTCGGCCCTTGCCCTCCCCTAAGGGGCTCCTGTGGCTATCAGGGTGGTAGGCTGGGGCCTGAAATGCGCTCCACTGAGCCCAGTGAGGTCCAAGAACAGAGAAGTGGGGCCTCCAGAGCATTCCCTTCTCTACCTGTCGTCCTTGGCTGAGATGTGAATGTCTCCAAATGCTCACAGATTCTTTTTTGGCCACGACATGCCCCCTTGGGTATCGGCAGGCTGAGGGTGCAGGCTGGGGCCAGGGTGCAGGCGCCCAGAGGCAGGACCACACTGCCTTGCTGCTTGGCCACCCAGCTGAAGCTTTCAGCAGGTCCCTCTCGCCCACCCCTCTCAGGAGCAGGTCCCCCCCACACCTGCCTGGGAACTGCAGTGGGTGGTGCACAGGCAGTGGGGTGAGGGCGAGGGTGCCCTCGAGGGCAGGGTCACAGAGCAGGCCCGAGTACCAAGGTACGGGAGGGCGTCAAGGATGTAGCAGCCCGTGCCCCAGTGGGTCCCCTGGTGGATCCCGTGCAGGCGGCCAGGGTTGGGAGGTGGGCTCAGGGTGCAGTCGCTCAGGGTTGGGGCACTCAGCACATGGACTTCTGCTGTTCCCTCCCAGACCGGGCTTGTCCTGAGGCCAGCTCACTCTGGCCACCCCCCAGGCCCGCCCCTTGACTTAGGTGGCCCGTGTCCTGTGTCCACTGCATCCTGGTGCCAGGGGTTCAGGCAGCAGAGGTCCCTTCGCCCCTGCTCCCTACGCTGTGGGCATCCCATCAGTGAGCCTCCTGTTCTTGGTGTGTGGACTCTGGGGAGGCGACATTGGCTCCTCTGTGCAGACACCACTGCTCCAAATGGTGACACTGGGGCCACCAGGTGTATGTGGCAGGATGGTGCCACAGAGAAGTCTCTGCCCTGCCTCTTGTTGGGGGAAATGCAGCACTGGTAGGAATAGCCGGGAACGGTGGGGCCCAGACGGTGCTCTGTGGCTGCCCCGCGGCGGCATCTCAGACACCCTCGCATCCATTCACAGTATTTCCCACATAGACTTAGGCCGACTTCTTTGGGAAACTTTGCTCCTCTTGCTGCGAAAGGCTCAGGTGCCCAGAGTTTGCTGGGACGGTGGTGCCGAGAGCCTTGCAGTGGCCCTGTGTGGCCCACCAGCCGGCACCTCCTTTCCCCTACCCGCTGGAACACCTCTGCATGTTTACACTAACAGAACAACATTCTTATGCCACCGCCTCTCAAAGTCGTCCCTAGGGCATGAGCAGCAAACCGCATTTCCTACTGCTTCATTGCGATGGCGTCCCGACATCCTCACAAAGGGCCACTCACCAGGTGGGCCTTCCCAGCAGAGCCAGAGCTGCCAAGAGCCTGGCACAGGACTGAAGTGGTCACCTTCATCTGTCAGCCAGGCCAGGGTCTGGCTCTTCCTGGGAGAGCACTCTGCACCCAGCCCCAGTTCCATGTCCCAGGATATCCTAGGTGGCACGTACAGCCAAGTGTACGTTAGCTCACCTGTGTCCCGTGTCCTGGGTCCACTACCCCCTGGGCCCACCGCTGACCCTGCCTGGCCGGTTACCCGCGCAGGACTGACCAGAGACACTTCACGTGGCCACGGCCTCCTGGATGCACAGCCCCCCTCGCCTGCTGCCTGCTGACCCCAGGGTCAAGCATGCTCTGCCCAGGCCTTAGGATCCTCAGCAGGGACAAGGGCGTGGGCAGGCAGGAGAGAGGGACGCTGCTGGGGCCTACCCAGCTCCTTGGATGGCTTCTTGATGCAGCTCGGAGGGTCCCCCTTCTGATGCAGGCCGCCCACACTCCGGCTCCTCTGGAGCTCAGCTATCTCGCTGGCTGCCTTGAGGTGTCCGGGGGCCACCCCTGGTGGAGGGGCCCCGGGGCCTGGCCGGTGCCTCCTATGTGCAGCTGCGTCTTTCTCCATCCTCCTCCCCTCCATCAGGCTTCAGGAATGAAGAGGGACGTGGGCTCCCAAGCGCACCCTCAGACAGAGAGCATGGCTTCCAACCTCTGTCCCACCAGCAGCCCCGTGTGGCCGGGGGCCCCTGTTGCCAAGCGGCCCCTATGACATCACCACCAAGTTCAGAGGTCAGAAGTCAGTGCAGGCAGCTCTTTCCGTGGGTTAGCTTCCTTCTGAGGCCTTCCCCGGCCTTCCCCCCAGCGGATGCGGAGGCAGATGGCTGAGTCCCTTGTAGTTGAGAATCTTTTTTCAGGGACGATGCCATCACGACCCAAGGGACCAAGGGTTCAGAGTGGCAGTGCTGGTGTCACAGGCTCATCAGCAGCCAGAGGCCAAAGGGCAGGTGCGAGCTGCGCGGAGCAGAGCCCGGCCCCGCTGTGCTGTCCGCGTCGGCTGCGAGCGCACTGCAGCGAGGCCGCTGATGGCCCGGGCGCTCGGGTCTCAAGCTGGGAGGCGGGAAGCCCGACGTGCAGGTGCCGCCGCCGCCTCGGTCCTCCACAGTCGTCCCTCGGCGCTTCCGGGACCTCATCTTTTGTTTTTTTCTATTTTTCTTCTTCTGTTTGAGTCTGGTTGACACACATTTGTTTCAGGAGTTTGACGAGTGGGTCAGCTCCTCTGGCTGTGATGCTGTGCCCCCCGTTAGCACGGCCACCTGCCGAACGGACGCTGTTCCATTTCACCCCATGATCAAGTCACTCACACCAGGGTCTGGACCTCGTGCTCCCCGCGTCCCCTGCCCGCCTTCCAGCCACCAGCCACGTTTGCTCTCTGTGTTTATGGCTCTGATTCTTTTTTATTCAGTTGGTTTGTCACTGCTGTTTGTTTAGACTCCACTTATCGGTGGAGTCCTAGGATATTCGTCTTAGTCTGATTTATTTCACTTAGCGTTGTACCTTCTCGGTCCAATCATGTCACAAATGGCACAATCTCATCTCTTGACTTCTGAATAATATTCCATTATAAATGCCACCTTCTCTTCACCCACTCATCTGTCGGTGGACATCTCAGCTGCTTCCATATCTGGACATTGTAGATAACGCTGCTATAAAGTTCTGGGGAGCATGTACCCCTTTGCATTAGTGTTTTTCTATCCTTTGGGGTAAATTACCAGCAATGCAATTGCTGGGTGGTAGGGTAGCTTCTATTTTCAACTTCCTGAGGACTCTTCACACTGTTCTCCAGAGTGGCTGCACCAGCTGACATTCCCAGCGGCAGTGCATGAGGGCTCCGCTTCCTCCACAGCCTCACCAGCCCCTGTTGTTTCTTGTGTTATTGATCTTAGCCATGGTGACAGGTGTGAGGTAGTGTCTCATTGTGGTTGTGTTTTGCATCTCCTGGTGATCAGTGATGTTGAACATCTCACGTGACTGTTGGCCACATCCTAATCTTAGAAGGACGCTGGTCACATGGGATTGGGGTCCACCCAAATGACTTCGTGTAACCTTAACTAACCCCTTTAAGGATCCCATCTCCAAACACGGTCACAGTCTGAGGGGCTGGGGTCAGGATTTTGCCATGAGTTTTTGGGGGACACATTCAGCCCATAATACAGCTTAGCAGAGAACATCTGGTCTCATCCCAGCAGATATTTTTTATCTTGAGGCATCCAAGGCCATGGGAGACAAATCATAACAGGTGCTTTCCCTGAGCAACCAGCAGATCATAAATAGAATGAAGCAAAAGGGACTCTGTTAATTCCACATGCACGTTTATCTTCCAAACCACTTCCCGGCACATCTACACATGGGGGCTCCAGTCACCCAGCCAAGGGGCTGGTGCAGCTGCTGATGAGCCCAGGGACATGAGAGCAGAGGTGCCAGGCCTACAACCAGGAGGGTGTGATGCTGAGATGTGTTGTCTGGAGGCAGAGCAGGTGGGCGCACATGGAGGCCCCTGGAAGCCACCATAGCCGGTCATGAGGCTCCTGGGAGAAGGCCTTGGCTGCCAGGCTTTCTGCCTCCGGTCCCACGTCCTCCCATGGGGACAGAACTTGGCTCTCCTGATTCCCTGGGTCCTGCATGTATCTGAGTCAGCCAGGCTCCCTGAAGATGCCCCATGGACCTGCCGTGGATGCCTGCATGTCCCGGGGGACTGATGCTGCCGGCTTGACCCCTGCACCGTCCTCCCCCAGCCCATCTTGCTGCCCAGGGCTGCCAGGAGCGGCCGCTGGGAGCAGCAATGACACCTCCCTCCCCAAGTCCCCCAGGAGGGGCTGACCCCCCGTCATCCCAAACCTGACCTCGTGTCCTCAGAGCCAGACCACTTGATTCTTTCCTAACAGGTGACTCAGGCTGGAAGTTGAACAACGGAGTCAACACCACATGGAGAGGAAGAACAGGGAAATGATGCATCCCTGCTCTGGAGGCAGGTCTCCTCCAGGCGCTGCCCCCACACACGCAGCACCCCCCCAATCTGGGAGCCCCTCCTGTTGCTTCCCATGGATGCCGGCCTGTGTCTGGTCCTGGAGCTCAGGCCCCACTGTGTCTCGGAGATGGTAACACATGCTGGAGCCTGTCCTCCTCGTGTGGGCTCGAGGCCGCCTCCACCCTCACTGAAGGCTCCCGGCACAACATACACTGAGGGAATGCTGGGTGCCTAACCCACATCCTTCCATCCCACAGAGCACTGTGGTTTCCAGTCTGACCCTCACCCTCACCTGTCCCACGTGCCCGCTCCGCCACACGCAGGGGGCACTCCCGCAAAAACAAACCAGTCTTCAGAAAGAATAAAACATCTGTTTTAATTGGCCAGTAAAATACATTGCAAATCATTAGTATCTTATAAACAGAAACATTAAGTTACAAATCCATGTTAAAAATTGCAGTTTGGTGCAGCCTCATAGCTGTGTGTCCCAAAGTTTATTTTTTGCAACATCTCCCTCACCGTTTTGTGACAAGACATGTTACTAACTGCCATCGTTCAGAATCTGCAGGACAGTGTTTGCAAGTAAAAGCAGAGATGGGCACAGGGTCTGTGTGTGTGAACAGCGCTCTCCAAAGCTCAAAGGCTGCCTGCCTCATGTCAGGATCCCCACCTCCACAGAAAAGCACCCCACCACTGCCTGGCAGCTCCCAGGGGCTTCACAGAGACACAGCCTCCAGCTCAGGAGGAGCCAAGTCTGCACAGCTCAGGGCCTCACTTTCCCTGATGTGCTCTGGACGGCCTTTAACTGGCTTCTAGGAGATGCGCCTCCTTCCCTCTGTGGCTCTCCTGTGGCACCCTGCCCTTTGATGAGAACAGGTCTAGATGTTCCAAGGTACCTTATATCAAAGACCTAATGAGAAATGGTCCTTTAAAAACATTAAGAAAAACAGCTTGAAAATAATGCACATTTCTATTTTAAAAACCTTCCGCAAACCTCCAGAAGTGGTGGCTAATGTGGATCGTACTCTGCAGTTCCACTGACAGCAGAACTACAACTTTTGCTCAGAAGGGGATGGGGTGGACACTGACCTCAGCCCATTGCCAGCTCTGGCAGTGTCTGCAGCCCACGGGGGTGGGAACACCCTAGTGCTCTCTGCAGAAGGATCCCGTACCTCCAAAACATCAAGAACATCCTCAAATTCGGATCTTTGTGCCATTATGCACAATGAAGCCACAAAACCGACCTTTCAGCCAGGAATCACAGAAACACCAAAGGCTGGAGCTGGAGGGCCACGGCCCACGGCCGCCTAAACAGGCTCACGGGAGACGAATGATGCTATTTAATGTCCGGTCTCGCTGAAGCAGAATACGCTAAGGAACAGGGCTCCAGGGGCACAGCGCCACGCAGCGCAGCAATGGCAGAAGTGCACACGACACAGAAGTACAAGCTCTACAGAGGGCACAGTGTCCCCAGCAGCTCATTCCAGAAAGGCCGGTTCCAGTCACCTGCCACAGTGTGAATAAAGTGCACGGCAACCACAGACACAGCCCGCGGAGGTTCACCAGTCCCAGGAGCTTGGCGTGTGAGCTCTATGTGAGCGGAACAAGTATGGATCCCTTGCCCTTTTGTCCTGTCTTTGTTCCCTCCTTCCCGAAGGTGGTGGTCTTCCTGGTGCCCGTCCTTGGACAGGACCTCCTACAGACTTCAAATGGAATGGGTGGAGGTCTCAGACTGCTGCCTGATGTAGCTCTGGAAGCTCTTGTCTCCAATGGGGTGCTCCCTGCAAAGCAGAAATGGGGAGGAGGGAGTGGGGTGTAGTCTCCTACGGCCAGTGCTCAGCTGCGTGCTTTAATACTCTCTCTTCTATCTTTAAACGTGATACATGTTCATCGCAATAAATATGAAAAATACAGACAAGCAAAGAAAAAACAAACTAAGCCAGAAGTTGGCTATAGAAATGTATTTGTGGCCCAGAGAGAGGCATGATGTGTGCAACTTCTGGCCCAGGAAAGCCTAATTTTGGAAGCAATGGATCTGAAGGCAGGAGGGTCTGGAGGCAGGAGGTGAGGGAGGTGCTGCCCCTGGGACACTGCCCAGCATGCCCTGGAGAGCATGGTAAGCCCGTCTGAAGGGACAGGAAAGCTGCCCTAGTCCTCATGGGTGCATGCAGGTGGCTTCACGGTAGCGCCCGGCCCAGGACACTCCCTGAGGTCCCCTTCTCTGCTACCTTTGCCAAGAGCTGCCCGCAATCCCGTCGCCATACTCACTGGCTCCCATACTTGGTCTTCTTGAACTTGTCCCTTCTGTACTGGGCGTGCTCCTGCTCCAGAGCCCCAACCCCAGTGATGACCTGCTTCAGTGTCTTATAGGTCTCCTGAGGGTCGTCAATGATGAACGTCGAGTACTCCTCCTGCTCGGGCCCGTCGTACACAGATCTGCTTCCACAGGCCTCTGTGGTGTTGGGAGAGGGCTGGAGGTCAGGGCGGGAGCTCCTCAGGGCAGTAGCCTCAGGGAAGGGCTGGCACTGCCCACACAAATGCACAAAGACACAGAAGCCATCCCCAAGAGCCGGGCCTGCACTGAGCCCTAGAGAAGCCAGGGTCTGATGCCTCTTTCTGACCAGCCTATTTTCTGGGCGACCTGCATCTATCCACGCCCCATGGCTCACCAGACCAGAACCAGCAGATGTCTGTTCACGGACACTGGGCCAAGTTGGCTCAAGAGCCTGTGGTCACCCAGGGTCAGTCTGGGGAGACAACCTCCTCCATGAAGGCCCCATCTTAGAAACGGGTGCCAGGGGTTCACTCACCCAGCATGCACACACACACCCTATGCTGGGAACCGTGGGTATGAGGTGCGTAAAAAGGTGTCACCTCTCAGCCAGTCTGCACTAGCAGCTTCCTGCGACCTCTGTGACCCCTATCTGCTGTGCAGTGACTTTCTCATTGGACCACCTCACTCCTGCTGAAGACCACACTGTGGCCTCCAGGTATCCACAGGAAGCGCCAAGTCATCTGAGCTGGGCCTGGCCCCCTCCCCACACAACCTGCCCCCAGTCACCTGAGCTGAGCCCTACATTCCAGGGCCACAAAGAGACCAGGTGGGAAGACATGCCGTTTGGATAGTACCTGGCCTAGGTGAGCCAGCATCTAGGGGGCTCCTCACCCTATCTGTATTGCTGTTTCATTATCACAGAAGCTCTGGTGTCCACTTCATTGTCTTTATTTCTAACCCAGGAGAAATCTCTTATTTCTTGAAAAACCACAAGTCTGTACAAAAGAAAACTAGGAAGATTTAACATTTCAAAGAAAAAGAGAATCTGATGTAAGAAAGATAAGCAGGTCTAAACATGAGGGACGAATGAGCAGAGGACGCAAAGGAGGAAGAGTCAGGTGGAAGGGTGCTGATCTCATGGTCTGGACCCCTCCCCACAGCCCTACCTGTGGGAGCTACCCAGCCTGGAGCACGTTATGTAAGTTCAAGCCTCTGTGAACCCTCTGGGGAGGAGGGACACCGGTGTCCCTGAGAGGCTCCTGCCTGGGGGCCTGGCAATACCGAGAGCTTGGTTATTTTATTTTATTTTATTTTATTTTATTTTATTTTATTTTATTTTATTTTAATTTTATTATTTTATTTTATTTTATTTTATTTTAAGATTTTATTTATTTATTCATGAGAGACACACAGAGAGGCAGAGACACAGGCAGAGGGAGAAGCAGGCTCCACACGGGGAGCCTGACATGGGACTCAATCCCGGGACTCCAGGATCACAACCTGGGCTGAAGGCAGCACTAAACTCCTGGGCCACCCAGGCTGCCCAGCTTGGCTGTTTTAAAGACAGCCAGTGTGGACAGATCAAGAGGGATCACCCCTGAACAAGCTCACATCTCTGATCACTGCTCACGGTGACCAAAACCAAACAAATTCACTGCCAGCATGGTGCCGGCAGAGAATGGGCAGACGCCTTCCTGACACAAGGATCTGCACTTTCTGCAGAGTTCCAGACGGCCAGAGGACTCAGACCCAAAGGGGAGGGAGTACAGTGGAGGTGGCCTGGACAAGGATACAGGCAGCCAGGGCCAGGCTGTATTCAGCCCCAAGCCCTCACTGTCTCCCAGGGGTTATTTGATTTAATCCTGGATTAACCCACACAGGATGGTACCATCACTGCCTGGTCTCACAGGAGAGGACAACAGGCCTTGCCCAGTTGTCTCACAGTGGACACCAAAGCTGTCTCTGGGTTGCAGCCTGAGAATGGCAGACAAGCTGCACGCAGGGCCCCGAGGAGCCCTGAGCAGATGTGTTCGGAGTGACCCCAGAGGCCCAGGCCCGAGAGAAGGTGATTGTGTGGGGGAGACAGCACAGTGCTCTGTGTGAATCCTCCCCCTAACCGTCCCAACACCTGATAAATGGGCCCTTGTGCCTACTTTGCAGAGGATGAAGCAAGCTGCTATCCCAGGATATACCACGAGAATGGTGACCTGCTGCCACCTTGAAAGGCTCATCTGCACTCATCTCAGCCCCACAGCCCAAGCCCCCTGTCAGCTCGTTAGCCAGGCCCCTGCCAGGCCCCATGCTAACCCTCCTCTGCCTAAAGTACTGGGTTCTGCTGTCAGCAGATTGCAGGGGGAGGGTTAAAGAACCAGGGCAGGCCCCAAGGAAGATAAGCAGGTGACTCCATACCACATGAGGGAGGTGGAGGAGACCAAATCTCTCCGCCTGCACAGGCAACTACAACACAGCTTCCTCTGATCACCTAAAGGCTGCCATGCCCAAGAGAAAAGGACTGACCATGTCAGGTGTTAATAAGCCCCATGGTCAGTGCCAAAGAGAACAGTTTGATTAATATAAAAGGAGTATCTTGAGATGATTAGGTTGCTCTGACAACAAACTATCTGCCTCAAAGAAGCACTGAGACTCCAGACAGAGGCTGGAAGATGGTCTGAGAAGTGATTCAGTGCCACAGTGCCCAGGTGAAGTGTACTGTAAGGTCTCCAATCCTGTTGACACTCTATGAACACTTGTCCAGATGATTCCTATACTTTGAGGGAGGTCCATCCATCCATCCATCCATCCACCCACCACTCATTATCCATGCATCCATCATCCACCATCCATCCATCATCCATCCATCCATCATCCACCCATCTACCCATCATCCACCATCCATCCATCATCAATCATCTATTATCCACCATCCATCCATCATCAATCATCTATCATCCACCCATCCATCCATCATCTATCATCCATCCATCTGTCATCCATTGCCTATCCATCTATCTAGAAAATATGTATTTAGTTCCTCCTTCATGTCAGGCTCTAGGATAAATAACACCTGCTTCTGCTCTCAAAGGGTCAAGTATATTGAGACAGTTGTCATGGCAAAGACAGAGATACACACAGGTTTAGAAAAAGCTCCCTGGAGGAGGAGATTCACAAGACAACCAGGTATTGGCCAGACTGAGGGGCAGAGGCAGAGGCCTGCAATGGCATGATGCTGGGGAGACCCCAGACAATATGTCTGGAAGCAAAAGGGAGACAGTGTGTGGAAGAGGTGGCTGCAAGGTGGTTGATCATGCAAGGCTTAGGCAGCCCCCTTCACAACCCCGGATCTCACATGGTGGCTTTGGCCTCCTAAGACTCCTTACTTCTACCCTCCTCTGGACTGGTCACTCCTCTCAGGCGGCTGGGAAGGGGCTGGCACCCCCTGGCTCCAATGCCTTTGCCACCTTGAAGCCTGGTGTAGAGTGCCAGGGCCACCACTGCAAGGCCTCCTGGAGCCCTGGAGCCACGTGCTGTGTACAGCACACTTGCTGGGGGAGGACCCACTGGGTGGGTGGATGTGTGCGTGTGCACACGAGCATATGTTCAGGTGTATAACACAGTTGTCTTGCATGTGTGTGCATGCATGTGTGATTGTGCATGTGCCCAGAGCCTGGAAGTGCACCCAGATGAGTCACATGAGGAGACCAGAGAACAGGTGTGGCCCCCTCAGATGGGAAGCTCAGCATGGCATGCTTGCCACACCATCGCCATTTTGCTGTGTTAGATCAGGAAAAAGAAAAGGAAAAATATCTAACAGGTGTGTTTCCAGGCCCACTCCGCTTTATTTCACCTTCAGAGTGGGGCTTAAAGGCTGGGTCACCGAGTCTCTGAATGTGGCTCTGACAACTGCCAGGCTCGGCCCAGGACCAGGCAGCTCATCTGCCTCCCAGTAGCTCTTCTTCCATCCACCTCTCCTGAACTGAACATCACCCCATGTCACCTCATGTGTCCCACCCATGCTGCTGAGCTCTGCAGAACATTATAGGTGGTTAAATGTTGAGGATAATAAAGCTGCGTCAATATTATGTCTGCTCCCACGTGCAGAGTCACACGCACACATAGGCATGCAACCCTCTGAAAAACACAGAAGACCAAATCCTCAGTCTGGGGGTACAGGAGATTATAAAATATACTATCTTCTCAAGAACTTGGCAGTTCAGAGGCTGCAACCGAATTCCATCTTAAAATTATCTACGGGATCTAGTTCGCCCACGTAGCTGCCAAGCTGCAGAATGTAATTCCCCCCTCGGTGCCACAAACGAGGACAGGGGGCTCAGAGGGCTAGTTGTGCCAGCAGAGGGCTCCCGTTGTCGCTGGGACCCAGCCAGGCATCCCTGAAGCCACTGGCAATCTCGTGAGACAGTGTCACGCTGTAAGCTGAGCCTACCTTGCATTTTCTCCAGTTTGCTCATGTAGGAGTTGAAGAGAGAGTAGATTCGCTCCGTTTCTCGGTCCCCATCAATGTCCAGCTGGATGTTTGCTGGGAGACCGCTGCCCCAATACAGCAAGACCAGAACAGAAAGAACAACAATGGGAATCATGACATTTCTTTTTTTAAAGAGTTAGCTAACAGAGTGGTCTTATAAAGTGAACTTATCCCTGATGGCATTCATGTGTGGTTGGTGGAAGAGGTCACAAGCACTTAAAGGTGACCATCCACGGGCTCGGAGGACGAGAGGCCCACAGATCTGCTGTGATAGCCAAACAGACTTGTTCTGCTGTGAAAAGAAAGGACTTTACTGATGCACTTGGGCCATGTGCCCTGAAGGTTCGGCCTGCCACCCCAGGTGGGGACAGCCAGGTCCCCATTCCTCCTCAGCCTGGGGTGGCTCCTACTCCGCCTAAGCGTGTGGCAATGTCGCCTCCCCTGGGCAGGATCCCACAGGGATTTTCCTGAGTCCTAGAAGCCGGATCCTCCACTCCCGCTTCCATTAGCCTGGGACTTTCCTCACGCCCACACTAGACAGCAGTTGTCACTGTCCTCGTAAGCCATGGGGCACCTGGCCCTCCTTCCAGAAGAGGCAAGGTGAGCCTGTCCTGGCCCTCAGGAGGCCCAGCTGACAAAGCCGGAGGGTGCAGGGGAGTGTGTGCAGATACTTGCAGAAACCGAAGGGCCTGTGAGCAGGATGGCGGATGACAGCACCTCCCTCACTGCCACCCACCCCCAAGGATCACTAGGACCCCTGGCAGAGACAGGAGGACCCAGGATGGCTCACAGCTCCTGATGGGTCTCCTGAGAGCCTTCATGTGGATGAGCCAGGGTTCTCTCACACAGAAGCCCCTCAACAATCAAGACAATGGTCCACGGGACTCAGCGGTGAATATGCAGCTTGCCAAGACGCCACATAGCCCCGTGGCCACACTTCCTTGCGCAATGCACAAGCCAAACTACGGTGCTTGGGCCACACGGGGTGGATGTGAGACAGAGCGACTGAGGGGACCTCACGAAAGAAACAATTTTTTTTTTAAATGCTCCTTTTTCAGCTCCTATTCTGAGTCTGCACCCCTCACACCACTCGACACACGCCTGGGCAGGGACAGAGGCAATGCTACCTTCCCAGTTCTCCAGTACAACACAAAATGTCTATGGAGTGACTAGTGGGGTCGTCATAAACATTCTCTAGGACCACTCACTCCAAACCACTTGAGGCCAAGACCCTGGCCAGATGGACTGACTTAACAAAGACCCTGGGATGCTGCCCTTGTGCTGACCAGTCCATGGACACCAATGTGTGCACCAGACCACGATCCCTATAAAATCCCAGACCCAGGCTAAGATGAGACTCGTCTGAGGCCCTGTACAGACATATTCAATAAACTCTGCTTTCACTTCCTGCTGGCTCAGATCTGACTCCTGGGCTCTGTGAAGCCAAGGCCCCCTCCCTGGGTCCTTGGAGCCAGCCCGCCTGCACTGGCGGTAGTGCAGACCTACCCGGTGCAGGGGGAGCAGCCAGGCGCTGTGTCCGAGGAGGCCCTACAGCACAGCCAGTGACCATTCAGGTAGGCTGAGGGGTGGTAGACGGTAAGTCGTTTCTGGTTGCACTGGCTCACTTTGGTGAGGATGTCGATCCAGGCCTTGGCCTCCACACAGTTGTTGGCCTGGATGTACAGCGCTCGCTCGGGCTGAATGACCTGAAACATCTGGGACATGGGGAGAAGGCTCAGAGAGACCTCAGAGCAAAACACCCACCCGGGCCACGGAGTCCTGGGGATGGACTCGTACAAGACCCAGGCCCACAGAGGGAAATGATGGAGCTGACCCCGAGGGAAGATGGCATGGGGGACTGGGGGGACTGGAGGGAGAGAGAAGAGCTGACCCCAAGGCAGGACAGCCCAGGAGATGTAGAGGGAGAGAGAGGAGCTGACCCCGAGGGAGGACAGCCTGGGGGTCATGGCATCTCAAAGTACTTTCTGCTGCCCTTGAACGACAGAGCCACTAGGCACAGCCTTCTCCCTGGGGCTCAGGAGAGAGAAGAGCCCCTGGCCAAGGCTCTGTGCTGGGGTGTCAGGGGCTCCATGTAAAAGCACAGGGCTCACACTCTCTACCCCCCCCCCCAGGTCCTCCTGATGCTCACTGTGCCCATTACTGAAACGAGACTTTCTTTGGGTCTCCTGGTTTTTAAGGTGGGAGGACTTCTAAGCAAGGTGCATCTGGCTTACCTTGTGCTACCCCCACACCTACCTCAGGACCTTTGCATGTGCTATTGAGTCCATCTGAAGAATTTCCCCCACCCACCTGAGCACCCTGGGGACCCTTCTTCTCCTTCCAGAAAGGTGTCACTTCCTCTGAGAGGCTGCTAAGAGCCTCCACTGCTGTTCTTATTATTCATTCCACCCACATTCCTAAATGCCAGGCTCTGCCCTGTGTTCTGGGAACACAGTGTGGCCCAAACAGTTTCTGTCTCCATGAACTTTCAGCCCTCAAGAAAGATAAAAATGAAAAGAAAGTGCAGGGTCTGGGCACGTCAGAGGAAGAGTCAGGAAATCAACGACCCCGCTGCTGTCAGAACGTGATTGGGGGAGGGGAGGGATGTGTGCATGGACAGGAGCTGATGGATCTGAGTGGAGAGCTGGGGCATCTTCAGGGACCTGAGCCCTGCCCCTGCCCCACCCTGCACACACATGCACTGTTGCACAGGCCTTAGACTGCATCTCTGCAGGCTGCGACCCCCACGGAGGGACAAACCCCAGACAGAGTTCTGTTGACCGCCCTCACAAACTGGCCGCTCTGACAGGGCCACCGCAGGCCACCTCGTAGACGGGCAGGGGTCTGCAGTTAGTGCCATACGCAGTTGCCTGTGAAGGAAAGCGGTGGGAAACAACAGGCTGATATGCTAGTTGGGTGATTTTCTAAACAGAAGTGAAGGGGATGGAAATGCAGTTTCTAGGCTGTTTTCACACTCGTGCCCTGCCATCACATCTGGGAATGCCATGGGCTGCCCTCAGGGCACAGTGCTCCCAGGCTGCCATCCCGGAGAGGGCCGGTCACAGGTCAGGCAGCAGACACCCAAGGCGACAAGACATGCCACAGAGGAGATGAGGACGGTGCTTGCAGCAGGTGCAACAGCATTACTATCCTCAGGCCCAGAGAAAATGCCACCATCTGCCACGGGCCCATCTGCCTGCCCGAGAAACCACCTTCCGTGGTCCAGGGGCGGCATGAGGTAACAGGGGGTGCAGGTGAGCAGGAAAGCCATCTGTGAGCTGGGCCTGGTGGCCTCTAGGTCACACCCATGATGGAAACCACATCTGGGTTCAGCCTGTCGAACTCTGCATGCCCACGGTGTGTGCTGGCAGCAGCGGTGACAATGCGATCAGCAACGCTGCCACATCCCATGGCCACATGGGGCAGTGAGGGGTGCCACCCCGGGTAAACGTGGCCCTGGGAGCCCTGTGGCCCTGACAGACAAGCGAAGAAGGTCCCTGGGTGGCTCTGTGCACGGCAGAAAGCCAAGGAAAGTTGTGAAGGGGTGAGGGAGGTGGGAAGCCTGAGTGGAGGGGCAACAGTCTGAGGAGGAACCCGATGAGGATACGGTGCAGAGTGTTTCCCATGCTCGGCTCATGACAAGATGCACGTAGAGCTCAGGCCTAACACCCAGACTGTGGGACACCCACAAAACCTGGCCTGCATGCGTCAGACACCCCAAGGCTGCAAAACACAGAGAGAGGCTGAGAAATGTTCCAGATCAAGAAACTGGCAGAGAACGAGTGGACCAGGCGGCACTCGGCTGGGCACTCAGAGACTGCCATCCGTGCCGTGGGCACCCTGCCTTGCCTTTGAGAGCAGTACAGCTCCTATCCCAGGATGTCTTTCTTTATAGGCAGCATGCTGGGGTTTCTGCGTGGTTTAGAAGGATGCATGGCCACGGAGGGTGATAAGGAACAGAGCTCAGCCAACGTGACAAACGCAAACATCCCGCGACTCTGGGTGAGGGGACACGGGAGGTCCTGCTCTGTTTCTACAACTTTCCTGTAAGTTCACAACCATCTCAGAATTAAGTGTCAAAGAAATGCTGCAAGATCCCAGAGCTGATCCCTGAGCTGCCAGGAAGCCCTTTCCAGCAGGTTCCTCCCTGCCTGGCTGCCCGAGCAGGATGAGCCAGGCCGCTGTGCTCCAGGGTTCCCACACAACAGCTGTGAACACCAGTGAACATGCGGGTGACGGGGCTCTGTGGCAGAGAGCAGAGGATGGAGAAACCCCTGAAAAGTCTGGCGCACACAGGACACTCACGTTCTTCATCTTGAAGGACTCCTCCTCCAGCTTCTCCACTGCCAGAATATTCTCAATAGGAATGCTGCACAGAGGCTGGTCTCCTGAGGTTGAGAAGGTTCATGAGGGGGCAGGCGGTGGGCAGAGGGTGGGTCCCCGCCCTCGGGGTAATGGGTAGACAACACAGAGACCCCAGCATGGACACTGAGCCTGGGCAGCACTCCCAGCAGGACCCAGGACACGTGGCAGTGACCCAAAGCCTCCGAGGAGCCCTGTTCTCAGTGCCACATCCCTGTGATCTGAGCCGTGTCACATCTGGGAAGACACGCCAACACAGGACCCTGACCCTGTTGCCCGGAGCCCAGAGGCGCGGCCCGGCCCGCCTGTTCCCCAGCCCCCCCGGGCCACCCTGGTGGATGAGTCTCCAAGCACTCCTGTGACAGCGGCGGCTCACCCATGGGACATGTCATCCTGCCCTTTGTTTTCATTCCGGAGAAGCAGGCTCTGGCCTTCAGGATAAAGGCTGTGAACCAACTAAAAAGCCAATTTCCCTTGTTACCTTTGCTTTTCTGGTAGGTAAATTCATGGTTGGTCAGGCAGAACCATCTTTTCTTAAAGTTCTTCATCCCAAAGCGCTTCCGTCCTTGTGCCCTCTTAATCATGAATCTGTTGTGAAGAGGGCGTGTCTGTGGGTCCATCGTCAGGGCTCAGGGCACATCCGCCTCCGGCCCCCACGCCACAGCCCAAGTCATATCCACAAAATCCAAATAAACTGCCCCTTTCACAACTGTCCTACCTGAGGCAGCCTGCAGGTTTTCAACACCTTAAACCCAAAAGGCAAAGCTCTCTACTTTTGAAAAGTTTTAGTCCCAGTTGACAAGGACACTGAGTTCATGAGACCTTCAGTGAAGCAGCCACCCTCCCCATCTCCCGCCCCGGGAAGCCCCAGGAAGACCAACGAGAGACGCCATGAAGAAGGTAGGGCCCACGAGCCATGGCAGGTGCGCTCCGAGACAGAGAGCGACTGCAGCGCCCTCCCCGGTAGGCAGGAGACGCTTCAGGAGTGGGGGGCTGGCGGGGGCAGGAAGGGTGGCTCCAGTGTGAGCAAGCCAACACCTCAGCATGGTTCAGCCTGCCCTCCCTCTCTCTCCCACTGACACTCACACCACCCATGGGGAGAGGCACCAAGAAAGTAAGGCCAACCCCACATTTCAGACATCCCTGCAGACCATCTTGCAGGATCTGAGACATGGATGGGGGCTATGCTTGTCCAGGCCAGGACGGCGCCTCAGGGGTCTGGCTGCCTGTGAGCTGGGACGGCCAGGAGCACGGCCCCTGCAGGTCTGTCCTGCTGGCCCAGCAGCGCACGCAGGCCTTACCCTTCCTTAAGCAGGATGGGCTGCTCTATACTCTTAGGGTCTCTTCTCCCAGAAGATGAGATCAGATCTAAAAACTAAAGCAGGAGAAATATGAGATGCTTAAGGGGGAAATGGTGTGTTGGATACAATCCTGCTCACACAGGAACAGTTAGCTAGAATGCTGCAATCTCTTTCTGACTCGAGGAGAGAGCAATTGGGGGAGCGTGGGTCCCTCTACAAGAGTCAGGGGGTCCTGAGCATGTCTCTGCTGTAGCTGGAAGCTTCCAGTCCTGACCCCAGCAACCCATCAGTCCCCCCAGGGAAGGACTCACTGCACCCACAGCTGCGGCTTCACCTGCTTCAGGTCACACCTGGAGACCTACGTGTGTGGCAACAGGCAGCCCAAGGACGCATCTCTCCTGGAATGCATAGCAGGATCGGCTCCCAGGCCCCCGCCCCTCCTGGATTCATCTGTTCCTCAACCTGTCTGGATTCCCTCCACCAACTGTGCTGAAGTGTGCCCACGGCTCCTCTCCCTTCCTCCTCTTCTGGGTCCTGGTTTTTATGATTTCTGAGAAATAAGTATGTGTGACTGTTTCTAAACACAAGAGAAAAAGTGGGGCACCTGGGGGGCTCTGTGGGTAAAGCATCTGCCTGAAGCTCAGGTCATGATCCTGGGGGTCCTGGGATCAAGTTCTGCATCGGGCTCCCTGCTCAGTGAGGCGTCTGCTTCTCCCTCTGCTGCTCCCCCTGCTTGTGCTCTCTCTCTCAAATAAATAAAATCTTTAAAAATCAATAAATAAAAATAAACCCAAAAGAAAGTAAAACTTTAGCATCCAGAAAAGATTGTCCCCATGTGCTGTGTCCCTAACTCCAGGTCTGGATGCCCAGCTCTGTGACTCAGGCATTTGTGGGGCACCAGTAGAGTACATGGCCGGCAAGGCAAGGCACTGTGCCACCCCTTAGGGACAAGAACTGTCAGTTCCGAACAGTAGCGGTGCAGAAGGGGCTCACAGCACCCTGGGGGCAGAGGGGTCCTGGGACAGCCATACTCACATTTTTTACTGCATCAGCATATTTTTGCTCATTGAAGAATTCATAAAATGCAGCCATGTAGGATTCCTTAAAACTGGCCTAAAATGAAACAGGTCACTTAACAAAGGCCTGCAGGACAGCGCTGAGCTGCAGGCTACCTGTGGAGGTGCACCACTCATCTGGGCAGCAGGTCTCCCTCAGGCCCAGACGTCCTCAGGTGCCCACAGCTGAGGCCTCCTCATCACTGCAGTGGGGCTGTGACAGGTCCTGCCCTGGGGAGCTCTGGTCTGGCCAGGGGACTGCGGGGGCCCTGGGAGACCTCAGGGTTTCCTAGGAACAGGGAATCTCTCGGCAAGGGCCACTGTCACTGCTAACCCTTCTCTCTAGGAGGACACAGGATTCAAATTTATTCCTTGCCCTCCCCTGCCTGGAACACGGTGGGACTGACCCACCACTGGTTTGGGGGATGTTACTGCTCTACTGCTTATTAAGACACGTCATCGTGTATGCTACTGGCTCGTGAAATATTACTCTAAGTTAACATCCCCACAGTGAACCTGATTAAGTATGATTCACAAACATACCCTCAGTCTCTGAGGATAATTTGCCCCCACACAAAATAGGTTTAGAAAGCAAAGTTTCAGAGTTCAGCAGAGCTGAGGAGTGTGCAAGTTGTTGGAACATTCTCTCCGTGAAGATGGTAGTGGGGACGCCATGTGGGCTTTATTGTTCCTTATCCTTATAACTGTTTAACACACACTCCTCTGTGTTAAAAAGACATGATTAAAATAAATGACTTACAGATTTTGACTTGGACAAGCTGCCAAGAGTCTGAATGGTCTTAGAGATAAGCGTCAGCGTCCTAGACGTCTGTGGGTCCTGTCGGATGGGAAGGAGACATGCATGTTTCCTTTCAGTTTTACAGAAATGTGACTGAACCAGAACTGCATGGCCGACGATGGATGACATCATCTAGGAGCCCCCCAGCTCCAGCGTGCTGCCTGTGTGTGACGGAGCAGGTGCACCTGGAGGAGTTGCTCAGGCACTTCTGTGGCACATGCTCCAGGAGCGGCTCACGACCAGGCTCTCCGCCTAGAGGACCAGATGCCAGTGCTTCCCAGAACAGGGGGCTGCGGGCAGGACGCAGGGAGCAGCTCCATCAAGCACCCAGCCTGACACACATTAGGGGCCTCTTTAAATGAGCAGCTTTCCTGTGCTGAGGAAATGCTGAGCCCCGCCCCCGCTCCCACGGCCCTTCGTACGACCTAGAGGTTTAGTCTAAAACTCACCGACAGGAATGGGCCCCTAGAATCACCTCACCCTGGGGTCTCTGCCAAGCCCAAGCACTGCGGGGCCCTGCAGGGCTCCATAAGCGTTTGTTGATTATGGGACGGAACATACACATGATCATAAATGCCCCATAAATGCCCCGTTTTTCCCGAGGTGGGAGTGAGAAATCCTGGTCACAGCGTCCACTGTGTCTAACAGACACAGCTGGCCGAGGTGCTAAGCCTTCTTGTGTATAAAGGAGTTCAGGGCATGTGGGTGTTCACACCCCGGCTGCCCCACCAGCAAGGACGCTGAACACCCCCATGAGCCCGGGACGGCAGGTTTGCCAATTGACGGGGGTTGACATCACTTACTGTGTGGTGAGGCGTCAGCTGGAAGAGGTTGGGGGACAGAATGGCCGGAGCAAAGAATCTCAGGAAGATGAAGCTGCTCACAGCCGTGTACCTCACATCCAGGTCATCTGTGGCCAGGACACAGAGAGCCGGCTCAACGGGCCTTCTGGAGACAGCGGTGGACCTGGAAGCCGGCACCCAAGTGCGCCTGCCCCTCCTGAGAGTCTGCCCGGCCCCACAGGAGTCCCCTTCACCATCCCCAAACACACCACACCATGTGGTGGTAGCACTGCACCAGCCAAGGCCTGGCCGGGCACTAACCCAGAGGGTCTGAGGGCTGGGTATGCTTGGTAACTGCCCTTGCCAGACACCAGGGGCCCCTTCCATGCTGGAAGGGGCCACCATGCTCTGAAAGCAGGAGGTCCCGTCCACAGTCGGGTGGGAGGCCGGACGTGCTGAGAGGTACCTCAGCAGGTGGGTAGGAGGTGGCTTCTGTCAGGGTCCCAGGGACCATTCTGGGCGCCCCATGGTTCCCTGAGGCAGGAGGACACATCTGGGCTGTTCCCTGACTCCTCAGGGAAGGATGGCCAGGGCCAGGGATGGGGCCTGCTGGACAGGGTGGGGGGCCAGGCTCCCTACAGCCCGCTCCTCTGCCTGCATCCCAGTCCTCAGGCCAGCTGGCACTTCCTGTCAGGGCAGGACACCTTTTCTCTGCTCCTGGGCAGCTCTGCACAGGGTGAATCCTGGTGCCTTCCTGAGGACCTGACACACATGAAAAGGCAATTCATCCCTGGGGTCCCTCCTGTCTTTCTTGAAAGTGCAGCAGGGCATGTGGTGCAGAGCTGCCCCTCAACCTACCACAGTCAGAACTACAGAAAAACAGGAAAGGCAGCTTCCCCTGGAGAGGCCCAAGCTCGGAGAGATTAACGCTCCACCCCAAATGAACCAGTGTGATGAAACATGGCCAGCTGGCCTTCCCGTGCGGGGCCTGGGCCTGGGTTCACAGAGGGGCCCAGCCGGGCCGCAGAGGGATGACGTGCGGGCCACTGGTGTGGATCCAGCAGCTACAGCCAGAATCACGTCCACACAGACTCTGAAACGTCCTTCTCTGCTTTGAGACAGTGGGGAGAGGAACAACCCAGCAAGGGGCTGTGGGTGTTCTCTACACCAAAGACTCACCCTGGAAGCGCTTGGCAGCCGCCTCTCGAAGAGAGAAGAATATGTCACACATGACGGTGGGGCAGCTCACCCCCGATTTGGTGATGACGTTGAAGATGCGGTCAACATACTGCCGCAGGTTTTCCTGCAACAGGATGCGGGTGGGACACCCCCCAGTGCCTGTTTGGAATCACTGTCTCCCCAGGGCTGCTGTGCCAGCCCCATGGAGCCCCAACCACACTGGGATGGGGCAGGGGCCGCAGCAGCAACAGATGTACTACCATCACCATTTACAGAAGTGCCTCTCTGACTAGTGACAGTCGTCACCGCGGCCAGTGACCAGAACTCTGGGGGTGTGGGGCATCCCCCCTCCATGCCGACCTCATCCATGGGGCGCAGAGGTAAAATTCACTGCCTTGTATCTCCCGAAGGCATGAATAAATCACGTGAAAGATTAGGAGGTGAGGGTGCATTGAAAACATCAGGGAGTTCTATTTTAAAACACAGGACAGTGCTCTGGGGGGACAAGATGGAGGCAGCCTGGCTTTGGGACCTGTATCTATGGCTGCCGGAGACCAGACCAGGCTGGGAAGAAGCCAGGCCAGGAGGCCTCCTGGTGGGGAGGCTCTTGGTCCTCCCAGAAGGGAAGGTGCCAGGCCAAGTGCAGTGCCATCAGCAGCAGGGCATCACGGCATTGCACTGCAGCTGAGAGGGACTGTCTCTGGCGGAGACACAGGCTCCTGAGGACACCCTGCACAGTCAGTCCCCGTAGGTCCCCCTCCCCAAATCCTAGAGAGATGAGAGCACCCCAAGCAGCCAAATGCCAAAATCCTACAGATGGGCAAGCAGCTCCAGAGAGTGCAGAACAACTCCTTACCATGTTGTTTTCAAGGCTCTCTCCATCCTTTAGCTTCACAGGATCAATCTCACAAGATTTGTGGCTCTGGCATATCTGGAAAGTGCACGGACAACAAGGAGTGAGCAGCACAGATTCCAGGAGCATGGGCGGGGGGAGGTCAGGGGCATTGGGCGTCATGGCCACCGCCAGCCCCACGCAGCAGGGGACGAGAGCCTTCAGAGTGGCCATGGAGAGTGCCTCGGTCCATGAGGATCAGGCCTCTCCTGGAGACCATTCCAGATCCACGCACGTGGGATCAGGCTTCATAAATTTTAAAAACAGGGTTACTGAGCAGTGTTGGCAGGTCCACACACACAGACCAAACCAGAATGCGAGTTTAAACTTCCTCACTTCCCTGCATTCATTTATTTATTTTTAAAGATTTTATCTATTTATTCATGAGAGATACATACACACAGAGGCAGGGGCACAGGCAGAGGGAGAAGCAGGCTCCATGCAGGGAGCCCGATGCGGGGCTCGATCTCAGGACCCCGGGATCACGCCCTGAGCCAAAGGCAGACACTTAACCACTGAGGCACCTGGGCGTCCCACGTCCCTACATTTAATGACACCGTTCTGGGAAATGCTGCCTACTCAAGGGTCCCGGGAGCGGTCAGGGGAGGGACTCAGAGCCATCAGGGGAGGATGCTTATGGTGCATTCGGCTGTGTGCCCCAATGCATGAGCGATAACAGAGGGACCATGCACAGCCGGGGGTGCTCTAGAGAGGACCTTGGCTCACAGGCTCAGGGGGCCCTTGGGACCCCCACTCACCTCCTCTATGGCAGGTTTCAGGGTCATGTGCAGGTAGTGCATCCCTGCCAGCTTCATCGTCTCGTCAATGCACTTAGACGTCAGTGAGTTTCCTCGGAAAATGGTGTTGGGGTCCCTACAAGAACAGGCAACTATCTCAGCAGGTGTCAGGGGAAGCAGAGCCTGCTCTGAGCACCCGTCCACTGGATGCAAAGATATGCCCACGCTGCTAAGCGTGCTCCCAGATGCTCTGAGAGGGACACAAGACCACGCCAGATGTTTTACAGCTGAGAATCCTGAACCCGCCGCCCTGTGTCTGGAGCAGACGGACGGCACATAGCTGTAGTACAGTTTAGCAGGACATCCACACACCCACTGCCTTGGCTCTTTGTGAAGCTTGGTTTTGCAGCAAGTTAATGCTTCCAAAGACCAAACCTGGGGTCAGCATGGAAGTCCAGCACAGAAGCATACATGTGCTTCATGCCTTCTCTCAACTAAGGTACATTCTGGGTTTCTTTGAACCAAGAGCTCCAAGGAGAGACTCTTCTTTTTTTTTTTAATTTTTTTTAATTTTTATTTATTTATGATAGAGAGAGAGAGAGAGAGAGAGAGAGAGAGAGGCAGAGACATAGGCAGAGGGAGAAGCAGGCTCCATGCACCGGGAGCCCGACGTGGGATTCGATCCTGGGTCTCCAGTATCGCGCCCTGGGCCAAAGGCAGGCGCTAAACCGCTGCGCCACCCAGGGATCCTGGGAGAGACTCTTAGCACAATCCATCTCCAGGAAGTGGGCACAGGTCCTGGGGCAGCAGTGACCCCGTCCTCTGGCATGGGCCTGACTCTGAATCTGCACCCACAGACCACAGGAACTGACCACCCTCAAGTCAGCCAGTGCCCTTCTTGCATGCATGCCTCAGGATTTCTGAGAGAAACGGTGCCTTTTAACAATGTATCTTCGAAAGAAAAACTGAGCCTGTGGGTCCCTTCTGCTGTCCCAGATGGGCACTCTGATCCTTGCTGAGGGGACTTCCACTATGCTGAGTCACCCACACCTACCCTAGGCCAGCCCCTCACCACTCACTGACCCCAGGCTGCACCCCTGGTGGGATGGGCTCATGGGCAGAGGCTGAGGTTCACTCACTGGGTCCTCCGGACCTCGGCGTTGGCAATGGCACTGATGAACGGCACCACCCTGCCATAGTGCAGGAAGAGCCTCACGAGTGGGATGGCGGCCTCCTGCTTCTCCCTGCAGACCTCACCCAGGACGTGGGCCGCGGATGCTGACACAGGCTGCGAGAGGAAGACACCACATGGCCCCAGGGTGCGCTTCCCAACCTTGGGGGCTGGTGCAGATCCCCACTCCCCACACGACTTGGTCAGTGGGTTGATGGTACCAAGTCACCATACCAGAGACCCAGGCCCCCTGAAGCCCACACCAAACCCTCCAACGTGCAAACGTGCTCTGAGTGCATTCTTGGAGGATCCTTCCACCCAAAGCCAAGTCTAGCACTAGGGCCAGGGACCTCAGGGTCACAGATCAGAAACTGTGGCCTTGCTGGCTTGCCACAGGGCTCTAACTGCAGGCAGGGCATGGGGCAAGGGCTTCTACCCTCCCAGCAAAGGGAGAGGGAGGTATTTCTGGGCACAGAGCAGGTGTGGGGATGGTGTGCAGGGGAGAGTCATTGCCAAGTGCTGGCAGCTCAGACGCAGGGCAAGGGGTGGGCCGGCTCCCTGCCTCCTGGGAGGAGGCTGGTGTGGGCGGCTAGGTGGTGTCAGGGTGGGGCCAGGTCCAGGGTGAGGGCTCTGAGGGCTGGAGCTGATGGGGGTGTGTGGTGTGGGTGAAGCAGGGCGGGGTCCGGAGGGTCAGTGGGCGGGAGCTGGGAGCGAAGGGGTGGGGCCAGGGCCCAGAGGGGGCAGGGAGGAGGTGAGGGGTCCAGGGGTGGAGCTGGGATCTGGAACCTGGCAGGGGGGCAGGGCTGGGGATGCAGGAGTTCCGGGTGTTGGGAGGCTACCCCGCAACCCCACAGGTGTCCGCAGGCAGCCCTGGGCATAGCAGGTGCACGGGTACCTCCACATCCGCGGACCTCAACAGCAGGTCCCGCAGTGGGCTGTAGTAATCGGAGGAGAAGACGTGGTCCTCGGTGTACACCACGTTCAGCCGCAGGGACCCCAAGTCGCCCGGCTTCAGGCTCTTGCTGCCGTTGTCTCGGGGCTGAAGGAAGTACCTGGACAAATGCAGGACACACAGCGGGCTGCAGCGGCAGCACCATCCGGGGCTGGATCCCTCGGGGCTGGTTCCAGGACGCCCGGTAGGCCCAGTATGCCAGGCGCTCTGCACCACGCTGATCCTGCTGCACGGGGCATCCTGGGCTGGGCCGGGGTCTGAGGCAAGAGGGGCTCCAGGGCAATTCTACAGGACACCTCTCTGTTCCTCATAGGAGCTGGGGATGTTCCCTGACACCCCCTGCAGGGTGCATGCATTGCATGGGGTGTTTCTCGTGGAGACCCCTCTACAGGGTCCGAGTGGGGGGTGAGTCATTCCAGGCGGCACCCCACAACACAGAGTCCCTGTGCCAGAAGTCTTTTCAAAGGCAGAGCCCCTGTAGGGTCTGTGCCCTGGGGCGCCCTGCACAATATGTTTACTATGGGGGCTGACATTCTGGAGTCACAGGCCAGAAGTTAAGGCTGAAAAGCAGGAAGGATGGAAGGAATAAGAGAATGAGAAGGGGGAAATGAGTGACTACACAGTAAAGTCATTTATCTGTGAAGATGAATACTCGACAACAGCTAGCAATACGAAGAGCAAAGCTGCAATTATTCTCATAAATATGTGGCAGAGCTTTCAGCATCAGAGGAATGGTGACTTGTGCTGGTAGGCAGGCAGACCACAAGGGTACATGGACACTTTCTCAGTGTTTTCTGACTGGACACTCTTTTCTCTTAGGTCCCACCCAGTGTGGCCATGCAGAGGTGTATGGGCCAGGCAGTTTGAGGTGGGATGTGGGTGCATCTGGCTGAGGCACCTGGCCACCTGAAGACCTGGGTGGCCGTCCGCCAAGGCTGCCACGTGCCATCTTGGTTACTGGGCTAGGGGCTGCTAGGCGCATCAGTGCTCCCAGCAGGAACCAGAACCCAGTAATAGTAAACTGCCATCTGGCACAACACACAAACATCTATCCACACGGTGAGTCTGCAGACGTTCAGGGCTGTGGTATGCAGCACACGGCTTGCGACCACACCACGTCCCCATCCTGCATGTCTGCTAAAGGAGACCTGAATGTCTGCGCTTCACAGTGACATTCACTGTGCTATAAAGGGATGCACTAAGCAATCATGAAATCCAAATATGAGGCTGGAGGCCAAGCTCAGGGGGATTTGCCTGAACAATGCCTTTGCTTCCTTCCTCAGCAGGCGACAGCAGGTACGAGAGCTGTGGGGCAGGCCTGGTGCGGCAGAGCTCGTGGGAGTGCCAGGCTCAAAGGGCCGTTCTCAAAGTTGCAAGGTTCTCATAGTCCTGCCTTTGTCTCTCAGCCACCGCTCTCGCGCTCTCCCCACGCCCACCCACCAAAACGGCACCGTTTCATAGCACCTGTAACCCCATCCCCTCACCAGAGCTAGCCAGACTGGGTGGCCAGGTAGGAGCCAACCTGAGCCATCTCATTCTGGCTGCACAGTAGCAGCTCTGAATGTCTGCCCACCGGGAGCACATGGCACCAGGTGTGCAGCCACCTTACCAGGCTTCGTAGGAGCTGGACTGGCGGAGCACGTTCAGTGGAACCCTCAGCTCTCCCAGAAACTCATCTCCAAATTTCAAGTTGCTGGCATTCCAGAGGTCAACTCTGAAAAACAGCCAATGGTACACAGATCTCAGTAATGGATGACCTTGGGAGGGCAGGTGGGCAGCAGTGTTCCTTAGCTTCCCCAGGAGTGTCTGGGGTGGGATGGGGCCTTTAGTCCCTAAAGCTAGCCTCTGGCAAGAGAGTGACAGTGAGGACATCTGAAATGTGAGGTCAACACAGGATGTGACTATGGCATGAAGACGGTGGCTTCCCAGGGCCTCGGGGTGAGGGGGCTGCCCATCTTCTCAACAGCACAGGAAGACAGTGCACGTGGATGGGATTCTCACTGCTCCTCTGATTTGGGGCCATGGAGACCCCAGAACCAGAGTGGAGAGTCTAAGACTGGTTCTCAGCACACTTGGTTGTCACAGGGAAACTTCTAAAAGGCTGTGCCAGCTCTCTGTGGCCCTGAAGTCCAAGCAGGAGCCACGGACATCACGGAAGGTATAGGAACATGTGTGTGTCAGGAACACACAGAGGAACAGCGCCCCATGGCTCTTTGAGAATAAACAAAGGAAAATCCTTAATCTGCCACATGACACCTTAGCAGTAGGACAAAAGGTGGTCAGGCAGTCTTTTCCCCTTTTTAGTAAGAAAAACATTTAAAAACGGTTTTTGTTTGCTTAAAATACAACAGCTAAGACTTTATTGTCAAGTTTAAAGTCCAGTCTTGTATAAACACTTGTTTTTCTGAACAGGGAAGGGGAGCTGTGTGCTGAGAGCAGCCAGTGCACAGCCAAACCTCTAGCATGGCCCCGACCTTGATCGGGACTCTCAGACACTCTGCCTCTGTTTCAGTGTTTTGAGATGGAAGACTTAAAGCAGAAGCAGCTGAGACCTGTGTGTGGAGCCTGGCATCCCTCAGAGCTCGAAGCCACAGAGGGTCCCACCCTTAGGGGAGGGAAGGCCTTGGTCCCTGGCCCATGCCCCCAGCTGGACATCCACAGAATCCCAGGCAGGCCTCAGCTGGCTCAGGAAGCTCTGCCCCTGCAGGAAACCAGACTGCAAAACCTGCCAGGTTCTGGCAATGTGGTCTGCCCGGCCCCAGGGTGACAGGAAAGACCGCCCAGCTTATGGTCTCAACTGTCACTTGGTGCCTCCTATGGCTGCAGCTGGTGGGCAGAAGCCCCGGGGGCAGGAGGTGGGGAGACCCGCCAGAGCTGCTGCACCTGAACCCTGGCATCTTCCCCAGAGCACACACACCAACGGCTTTACCGTGGGGGCTCCAAGCAGCAGGAGCACGGGGCTGGGTGAGGCTGCCACGTGGACGGAGCCTCACACACTGGGCAGCATCAAGCCGTTAACCCCTCTTAGAACATGGCCTCAAAAAAAAAAAAAAAAGAGTATGGCCTCTAAAACCACATTTGTCCCTTGGGTAAGTACAGGTCCTCAGCCACTCCCCAGATCGCTGGCAAGTTCACAGCTCTTCCTTTCAACCAACCCCCGATGTCCTAGTGTTAAAATTACCAGAAAATTGGAAATCCCATCCTTCCTGGTCCTGTATTTTCAGAAACAAACCAGAAAACAAACAGCAGAGGTGGGTTGAGACTATAGCCACCATGTCAGAGCCTGGAGCCCCATGGCCACTGCTCACCGGATTTCAAGTTTGTCCACGTCTTCCTCCTCAAAGTCAAAGTGGGACTTCCGGTTGTAGCTGCACGGTCTGGTCACCTGGAGGGGCGGGAGCAAGGTTGTGTGCCGGCCTGTGAGGACCCCTGCCCACCACGAGCACCCCTACCTGGGGCAGAGCTGGTGTCCCAGGTCCCAGCCTCAGTGGTCTGGAGCCTCTTCTCCAGGGGGCTGTGCCTGCCGGTCTTCCCAGCACCATGGCCTCACCTTGTGAGCACCTGGGCCAGCTCCCTCTCCTCTCAGGCTCTCCACCTCTCTGCCCTGCATTCGCTCCTCCCCAACCTGCCCATCTCCCCATCTGGGTACCTCCAGCCACAGCCCAGCTTGGCCTCCACCTCCTCCCCTTGGAGCCCCCACCAGCTCTCCTCCCCCAGCACATGGGAGTCTTCCTACCACCTGCACCCCTGCCTACATCACCTCTCAGGCCCATGCTGGGAAACTTGAAGGGGACTCTGAAATGCCACCTCCTCTAGGAAGCCCCCCAGAGACTCCACTGCCTGATGCAGCTTGCTGCCTGGCATCCAGCATGCTGGGCACAGGGTTTCTGCATTGTTCCCACTGTGTCTACTCAGTGAAGGAAGATGGTTTTCACAGAATTTTGAATACTTTCATTTAGATAGTGAGAGGTTTTTAGGTAAGTCTAGCCATTACCCTGGAAGAAAATGCTTTCCTGTTAAAACTCCTATAGGAGGCATGTGCCGGCCCCAAGCCAAGCACAGGGACTCCAGAGGCTCAGCCTTACGCTGAGTCAGAGCTGTGGGGGTTGTTTGCAAACTGAAGCAGAAAGCGGCTGCAGAGAACCAAAACAGGGGATTTAGCTGTTAACAGGGCTCAGCCCTTTCGGTCTAAGACCAAAAACTCCAAGGTCCTGTGGTCTGAGGCCAAGAGTGAGGCAGGTGTCAGGTGGGCCCTGGCCAGCAGCACTCAGAGCCCAGGTCCGGACCTGCCCTGGGATCCTGCAGGATGCAGGCCTACCCCTGTGCTCACCTGTATCTGGGGCTTGTTAAATTCACCTACTGAGTTGAGACTGATGTTTTTACAGCGTGAACTGTAAGTCAATAGCACAGTCTCAGTAAGAAGCACCCAGGGCTGCGTGTTAGAGCCCGGGGAGCACATGCTGCAGGGAAAGCCCATGCTTTACCGTGTGCCATATTGACCTCAAGTTGGAAAGCACTGCCCAGCACGCTGGGCAGCTCAGACAAGGAAGGCTGTTGCTGCCTTTGTGTATAATCTGTATTAGAAACTGTTCTCTATCATCTGTTCCAGACGCCTTCCCTGTCTCCGCAGCCTGGGCATGAATCCCCTGAGATGAGGCTGACCACATCCGCTTCCTGCCTAACCTTGAGTTTCTTAAAAACCATTTTCTCCACCGGCTATGAAGCAAGAATGTCCTTCTGGGACAGAGAAGGGCACTGTGCCCTCCATACAGCCGCCCAAGAAGCCTGGCTGCTGACCTACATGCAAGGGACCTGTGGGCTTCTGGACACGTTAGGAGTGGTCCAGGTTCTCTGCACGTGAGCTCCTTAGTTCTAACCATCGCTCCAACTTCATTTACCAAAACGGCACCTTCTCACACCAATCTCACCTACATGTGGACGCTCAGCGTCCCAGACTGTACTGGAGGGTCACCGTCCTGGGAAGGCTTGTCCTTCTTCACCAGGAAGAACCGCCCTGAAGCCACTGACTCAACAGTCACTTGGCCACGTGTATGATCCTCTCCTGTACAGGTGGTTCTACCCAGTAGCCAAGTCATGCTTAGCCCCCCAGGACCTGGTGCATATGAAACATTCGAGAAAACTTTGTAGCTGCAAAGAGCATATGCCTAAATATATGACCTATGGTTCGTATTTAAGCTGAGGCAGCTGCCCTGCTTGCACACTTTGGCCCTCATGCCCCCCATCCACCCAGTTTCGGTGGCTCACAATTCTGAGAGGCAGCCACAGGCTCTCCGTGTTCAAATGCATTTTCTCTTTTGCCCCAAAACCCCTCACTATCTCTGGTGAAACAAGCTTCCCTCCAGTGCTCAGGAAAGACTGGGGGAAGCAACCAAAAAACAAAATCCCACAGCAAACAATTAAATCCCCCCAACCTCCCCCCCCCCAAAAAAAAACCCAAATACTGATAATTTGGGAGGTAAAACTCGCCAACTCAAACCCAAGGAAGCACCAAATGGCCTTTCTTCCCAGGGATGAGGGAAGGTCCTGGGACCCATGGATGCTGCAGGGAGCCACTGCCTGAGGCCCTTCAGAGCCACACTTCTCCCAAAGGATCTCAACGTGACATTGGTGGCACTAATACCAACCTCAAAATAAAACACTTCGTCAAACTGCGGGTTGTTGGTCTTCTTTTTCACTTTTGTCTTCTTTGCTTCCGATCTGTAATCAAGGAAGAAAGGTTGAGATTAAAACCAACACTGTTGACACCAAGTCTCTCTGGACCTTAAGACCAAGTGATCAAATACACAAGTGACTTACTGCCTTTACTTACAAATATTTCTGTTTGTCTCCAACCCAGATGGTATACAAATCAGGACCCTTTACTGAGCCCAAAACACCCAAAGAGGAGAACACAGGGTTTTTTTGTTTTTTTGTTTTTTTTACAAAGCACTTTAGGGCAATAGAGAAAATGAGAGTGGGTCAGTAGGACACTTCCCTCCTCACAGCCAGGCTGCATTTCTCTGGAACCCTCAGCATCATCATAGCTGACTGCAAGTCACCATCACGGCCCAGAGGCAGTGGTAGGTGTGGGCAAAGATACTTGCCTGTATGGTCCTGCCAGTGTCACAGTAGCGTAAGGGTCACACTGCCCATTCACGATGGGGAGGCCTTGGCACTCGAGGATGCTGAGAAGAGAGGTGGGGTGTCAGGAACAGGAGCTGAGGGGCCCACAGGTCATTTCTCGAGGGCTCTGAAGCCCCCCACAGGGCCAAGAGCCAGGAGTTCTGCGTGCTGCTGGCACCAGCTGCCCAGAAGCTCCTGTCTAACAAGCAGCAGTGGGTGCTGACCTGACCAATTAGTAGTCAGAAAGCATTTGGGGCAGGAAGAAGTGTGTGCTGCATTCAGGACAAGGCTGTCTTAGCCGAGGATGACACGGTCCTAGGGACTTGTGTGAGTGATGCCACCGATTCATTTCCTGGGAACCAGTAGTAGCAAGAGCTTTCCGTGGCTCATGAATTTACCTCTCCCACAACCTGACAAAGTAGCTGCTGTGGCACATCGTGTTACAGGTGTGAAAACGGTGGCCCCAACAACCGACTGGGCTTTCGGGTCCAGCCTGGGCACAACCCCCATGCCACACATGCCTCTCGGCTGCAGAGGGCACCCCAATCTCAGATTTACTCGTGCCTGGTCCCTCCTGTGGGTCCCAGTACAACAGTCCTGGCCCAGGTCTCTTTAAATTCTGGAGCAGAGCTGGTTATGCAATTTATGTGACCATCCTTTCCACTTATTCTGTCATCACTGTCATCCCTGGGTATGCTTCTGTGGGCTGCTCCTTTGGGTTGTGCTCAGGTCATCCTGCTCCTGGCCTGCCGGTTTTGAGCACATGCTGGATGTTGTGTTGTGAATTTCAGGTTGCTGACTTTCTGGGTCTTGTGCTAGCTGGCGGTTAAGGTTCTCTGGGTACAGACTGGTCACGGCCATTCCTGTTTGAGGCTGTGTCAGGGGCTGTGTGGCGCCCCCCAGGGGCTATGCTGAGCCCCGAGTGGGAGCAAGGATCTCCACCGCACTGGCGGATACGCAGGTGCCTCTGAGCCATACGAGAGCCCCGTACCCACAGACCCCATGCTCTGTTCAGACCCATGGCACTAGCCCGACATACCCATATTGGCTTGTGCAGTATGCAGGCCTCCTCCTCTCCGGAAAACACTGCAGTGGCCTCTCTCCACCCACCACAGGACAAAACCAGGGCCACTGCGGCCCGTGTCTGCCCCCCTTGTCTGGGGTCACAGAGTTCAAAGGCCAATTGCCCAACATCCAGAATGTCCCACCAGTACAGCACCAGCTCTTCCGTGGTCTGTGGGAGGAGAGGGGGTCTGGGTCCCAGTATTCCAACATGGCAGGAAACAGAAGCTCTACTCCCGAAGCGGAACGGTGTGGCAATTTAGACGCAGGATCACATCCCCTCAGACGGCTGCATGCTCGTTTCTCTTGCCATCAGGAAGTCAGAGAATAACCAGCTGCCCCATTGCTCCATCAGCCAAGCAATGTGAGCTGCTTGTGCCTCTCTTGGGAAGGATTTAGCTTCCAACATTTCCCAGAACATATCTCTCCAGTTGAGGATTTTGTTTCCTTTGTGGTGCTTACGGCCCTTGGAGCTGGTGCCACACGGGTCCCACACCTGGCAGCTTTCTACATTTCTCATTTCTCCATGAGTTTCCCTGAAACCTCTGCTAGATGAGGTTGAACCTTAGGGGTCACTTCGTTACTTCTGTTAGCCTTACCTAATACTTTCAACTCTTTACTTGATGAAATATTTCTGGGTTTCTCTCCAGATTACTGACTTGGTCTTTGGTTATCTTCCTTCATTAACTCATTAAAGAAATACTGATTTATCCATTACATCATCATGAAGCAAACATTCGTGTAGATCTTATGCAGCCCAGGCATGTCTCCAGGAACGGAGCAGTCTGAGCTCAGGTCTGATCATTGGCGCAGCAGCAACAGCAAGATGGTAAACACAGAACATGCAATTGTTACACCCAGCCACGTGAGGGAAGAAGGAAACTAGATATGACAACAGAGGAGCACAAGGTGGTAGTTGGGGGCCTCAGGCTGAAGTCTGAAGGACAAACGGGGTGGGGGGTGGGGGGGGAATCCCGCAGCAGATCTGAGATGGTGGGGAAACAGCCTGCTCAGGACAGGGCAGCAAGGCCCACACCCTCTCCTGGGGCCAACGACCACAGTTTAACACAAACACCTTTTTTATTACATTCACTTGTTGCTCAAGAAGGTTTAGATGGTTTTGGATCCTCAGGCATGACGGCTTTTCATGGCCAGGAACCAGATGGCATCACTAAGCATCAAAGTGAAAGCAAGTGTCCCCTCACCTATGTCCCAGAGAAGCACCACCAGACGCAGGGCAGCAGCCTGTACAACCCCCCCAGCAACCATGGGAATGTCCCTGCCTTGCCTCCTCCCACATGACCTATTGTCTAACGCAAAGCAGTTACCGGGATACCGAGCCCACCTACACAGCCATTGTGGAGGGAAAACCCAGCACCCTCCATCGGTGTGCCAACCATGCAACTGAGGTAAGGGCTTCCAACCCCCCCCCCCCCGCTCACCTGGGGCGGCAGGCACCTGTAGGTGGGCTAGGGCTGCCCGGCCACACAGCCCCCTCTCACCACACTCCACACACAGGGCATCTCTCCAGGCTTATTCTCTTGCAAACAACTTCAACCCCTGCTTCAGAATGTTCCAGGTAAATAAGGGAAAGGAGTAAAATATTTACTACGCTGCCTATTCCTGTGTCCTGGGAAGGACACTGTGACACAGCGACACAGTCAACTAATCTGGAGTCCAAGGCATCAAGTATAATACTTACACGTATTATAACATTTATAGGATTTCACATTCAAACTGACCTTGAAAACGCGGTTATGCCTTGCAGCTAGAATAGTAACAGCCTAGTGGCTATGTTTTCTTTTTCTAACTCCCCAGTAATAGTAAATAAGATCTTTATTGGATTTGAAATGCTGTCAGAAACTTGAAAACAGGTAATTCCTCACTTGGATATACCTCAAGGGGGTGGTTCCCATAGCCTGGCTGTCAGCACTGAGCCTAGCCCCCCAGCAGCAGGACTCCAACCTCTGGTCAGAGGGGCTGCCCAGTGGCATCTATGGGGATGTCAAGCCCTGAGCCCAGACCCCCAGCAGCAGGACCCCACCCCCAGTCAGGAGGGGCTGCCCAGTGGGCATCTACAGGGCTGCTGACAGGCTTCTCATCAGCTGGTGAGATGGTGGAGCTTGGAAGTGGAAAAGCACAGGAGCCCTCACTTTCGGATAAAGCAGGTGGCCACAGGAGACCCAAGGAGACACTGTCCTAACAGGGACAAGGAAGAAGGTGAGTAAAGGTCTGTTGCAATGCCAGCCAGCAGATGGTGCACATGCATCATCTTTCCCACTCATCTCCTGGCACCAAAAGTGGCTACAGGTCTCCCACAGGAATGAGTGTTGTGAATGAAGGTGATGTGGAGTCATAACATGCTGTCCACTCACCCCAGCCCACACTCCAATGGTCTTGGGGGCCCAGCAGATGGCTCAGAACCCCAACCCTGTGCTCAACAGGCCAGCTCCCAACCACCAGGCTCCTCTAACGCTCCTCCAGTGAATGAAATGTAGATGTGCCACAGGATAACGTTCCTCCCCCGCTAGAATGCAGGCCCCAGGAGGCTCGAGACAGTCTGAGACAGTCCTCGGCACCTAACAGGGGCTCATGAAATATTTCTGAACGAATGTTACAAAGGTCTGCTAATCTTTGTTAGGGAAGGAAAGCATGAGTTACAGCCCCTGCGTGCAGGCTTGAGATCTCCTTGGAAAGAAGCCATGCACATGAACAGACACCCATCCGAGGTCGGAGGGGCAGATGCCACATCCACAGACAGGGACAGCGGGTCACCAAGCCACCTGGGCCTCAGTCAAGCGTCCAGGACAGCACATGTGGACATATGAGGAAACAGCATGAAAAAGAGTAGTTATAGTCAGGAAAGGATAGGGAGGCTTGTATGAGCACGTCCAGTATGTCCTCTGTCCACACAACCACAAGGGGGCTCGGTGCCAATGGCACCACCTGGGGAAAGGCTTCACTTGCCATCCAGGCAGTCAGGGAGAGGTGACAATCTGCCCGCCGGTGGCTGGGAAAGCCGGTGGATAATACTACCAGCCAGAGGGAGGCCACATTTAGGGTGGTGAGCGTCCAGGGACTCTGCAGGGAACGCTGGGACGCCCCCAGTCCAGGACTACAAGCACTCCCAGGGCTACCTGCAGTCTGGGGAAGGTAGACAAGGCCTCCCCTTGCTCTTCAGGCAGCTGGGAAGGGTGTACCCACAACAGAAAGGGACAGGCTGAGAAACAGAACTCAACCCTGCAGAATGCCCTAGGCCCCCCATGAAAGAATGTCCCTGGCAGGGTAAGAGGTGAGAAGAGCCCAGAAGGACCTTACAGTCCAGGAACCACCACAGGCTGGGAGGTGGTCCTCAAACAGATGTGGCCTTATTTGGAAAAGGCCTTTTGCAGATGTAATCAAGCTAAGGATCTTGAGATGATAAGCTTCCCCTGGATCCAGGATGGGCCCTAAACCCACTGACTAGAGTTCTTACAGGAGGGAGATTTCATAGACGCAGTGGAGAGGGTCACAGGAAGAGGCAGGCAGAGGGGAGAAGGGTGCCCTGCATCCCAGGAGCTGGAACAGGGAGGAGGGGGTGGGCCCCTGAAGTTTCTGGAGGGAGCGTGGCCCAGCCAGACTTCAGGTCGGGCCTTCAGAACTGGGATAAATAAATTCCTGTTGTTTTAAAACACTTGAGACTGTGGTGTTTGGCTAGAGCAGCCCTCATACCTCACACTGGCACAACGAGGGGGTGCCATGTGTTGGGAGGCTAAAAACAGGTCCAGGTGGTACACGCAGGCCGTATCTGTCCCCAGAACTTTCCAGTGAGGGAAGGGGGAGAAGTCAGGTGCTGCTTAGCAGGAGGAGGGCATGAGGCGATTCCCAGGCCAGTGGGGACCCCACTGGAACAAAGCTGCTTCTGCCTAACTGACTTCTCGTCAATGGCCCACCAGCCTCGCTCTGAATTTTCCCAAGCCCATAACACACTGTGAGGTTGGCTCAAGCCTGTGCTAACTTCTGAGAGGCCAGGGCACGAGGGGAGGACCCGTACAAATAGCATGTGTGATACTGCACAGACGCCAGCATAGACATTACTGCTCCGATTTTATACAAGGACATGACAGCGGAGGTCACAAGTCTGGGAACAAGCACTAGCTCTGGACACCAGGATTCCGGGTCCAGAGCCTTCTGCACCTCATCACCTGTGGAGCGTCCATAATCTTCTGTTCCATCCCACAGCAGCACCATCTGTGGGAAGTCCCAGGTGCAAGGGCAGACTTAGCTCTAAGAAAGAAGGTGGTAAAATACAAATGGAACTGAAGTGTCAGAGGACAACGTGCAGCTATAAATGCCCAAACTAAAAAAGGAAAAAGATCACAAATCAATAACCCAAACTTCCAGCTTAGGAAACCAAAAACAGAAGAGCAAAGAGCCCACACAGGCCACTAGAAGGTAAGGAAGCAGAGCAAACAGAGAAACCAGGGACATAGAAGTGTGGCCTTCGAAGATATCCACAAACTCGACACATCTGTAGCCAGGCTAACCAAGAAAAACAGACTCAAATTACTGACATCAGCCATGAAAGGGAGACATTCTAACGACCTAAGAGAAACAAGGTCATTTTTTAAAAAGCTTACAGAATAGCTGAGCAAATGGATAGACGATGTTTTGGGGTTGGAAGGGTTCATCTGGCTAATTCCCCAAACTGATGTGCAGATTCAGTACGGCTGCTATGTTTGCAGAAAGGATAACATGTTGATCCTGAAACTCATATGGAAATGAAAAGAGTTCAGGGCAGCCGAAGAGTTAGGAAAGAGTGACCAAGATGGGAGGTCAAGATGAAAGATTTCAGAACCTCCTATGCTCCCAAGTGGCCACAGCTGTGGGGGACCAGCATGGCAGTCACTGGCACAGAACAGAGTTTACCAATAAATGTACCCATTTGTAGGCCAGGGATTTCCAACAAAAATGCAAGACAATTTGCTGGGAAAGAAGGAACCTTCCTACAAATGGTGCCGAGACAGCAGGATATTCAAAAGCAAAGGAGATAATGCTGACCCCTACCTAACACCATACATAAAAAATTAATTCCAAATGTACTGAGAACCTGAAGATGAGAACTAAAACTGTGGAAATGTTAGAAGGAAAGCACAGGTGTCAATGTGACCTCAGAGTAGGAAAAGGTCTCTTAGAAATCTATATAAACAGGAAACATCGGATGAGGCAGATCAAGATTGAAGACTCTTGTTTTACAAAGAATGTGATCAAGAAAGTGAACATAATAGGACAGAAGATGTTTCCAAGTTATGTATGTGACAACAGGCTGGCATCCAGAATATACAGAAGATTCTTGCAATTTAATAATAAAATATTAATAACCAATGAGAAAATCAGTAAAGGACAGAAAAGATGGTCCCATCACGGTGTGAAACCAACACTTCTGCACACCCACCAGGAGGCTGCAGAACCCAAGGAGCATCGTGGGCAAGCCCAGGCAGAGGAACCGGATCATGCTGCTGGCACTGTGAGAACCTATCGGGAGCTTGCTGAGGCTTAAACACAGTCCAGATACCACACTGGTTCTCCTATGTCTCGTGCCCAAGAGAAATGAACACAAGTCCGTACAGATGCTTATATGGGAACGTTCACAGCAGTCGTCTTCACAACAGGCAAACATCTATCAGTGGAGGACAGGTGGGACAACCAAGGACATGATTCAGTGCCGGCATGACGGGAGCCCTGACACCTGCCAGGGCATGGGTGAGCCCTGAAGATGGCACGCTCAGTGACAGAAGCCAGGCACAATAAACCACATGTCATGCGGGTTCATTCACGTAAAACGTCCAGAATGGGGAACCCCACAGAAGCAGAGCAGCAGCTGTCGGGGGCTGAGGAGCATGGGGCCCATCAGGGAACAGGATTTCATCTTCAGGGTGATGAGATGTTCTGGAACTGGACGTGGTTAGCGTGAGGATTGTGCCAGAAGTCTGCCTTTGAAAATCCTGAATTTTATGGTAAAAGGTATTTCTTAGTGAAAGAAAAATCGACAGGGGGTGGCTAAGTGAAGAAAGGCAGGCCACTGGTGTCTCAGACACTTGGGGGACATGAGCCCTGGGGGTCTCTGTGCGTTCCTCTGCTCTTCCTCACCGCATCCCTATGAGGGACCTGTCTGCTCGGGGTTTGAACAGAGTGGACTGGCGTGTGTGACAGCATGTGCACTCAGCGACCAACTCCGTTCTTTGCCCGGCCCAGTCCATTCTGCCCCCACCACTAATGGATACTCCTATTCCACGGGAGCCTCTGCTGAAAAGGCCCTACATCGGAGGCTCCTGGGTGGCTCGGAGGTTGGGCATCTGCCTTTGGCTCAGGTCACGATCCCGGGGTCCTGGGATTGAGTCCCATATCGGGCTCCCTTCAGAGAGCCTGCTTCTCCCTCTGCCCATGTCTCTGCCCCTCTGTGTCCTCATGAATAAGTAAATAAAGTCTTAAAAAAAAAAAGCTGAAAGTTGTTTTGGAACAAGGGATAACCCTATAAATAAACAAGAAAACAGGCAACTCTCATCACTGCTACAGGGTCTGAGAGCAGCTATTTTTCGGAGAATGGCAGCACCGATGAAGGAAAGGATGAGTTTGGTGTGTCCTACTGTGCATCCCATGCCATGTCCTGTATAGGTTCCTACACACATCCTCCATGTCCCATGGTGACAGCCCCGCAGCCTCAACTGACCAGACAATGAACTGGAAAAGTGCAGTAGGCAGCGAGGCAGGCCCCGGGGTGGACACAGGGTGGAACTCCTCTCATGCCACACCCCAGGACATGACAGAGGAAACACAAGCCTAACACAGGACTCGGGGTCTCGGCCCAAGGAAAGAGCATTACCCGGGCTCACTGAAGCCCTTGCTCACCAGAGATGGTGAAAGGATGAATTTGGGAAGCATCTCTGCAAAGACGAAGGAAGCTGGAGCGTCTGGTCCCTCTCACGGTCCTGAGTACCAGAGGATGGCTTCTGCACACCCTCCCTTTCCCTTCTCAGAGGCCTCACTTGGGAACATGCAGGCCACAGAGGGAAGGCCTGAGCGTACCTGTGACAGCCGCTTGCAGGATCCCTGATGCCTGCAAGTGTCGTTAGTGGGGGGGGGACACATGTGGCGCCCACGGCGCAAGAAGCAAAAGATGGGGCCCCTGAGACCTCACTGTGGTCAGAGGGCGGACCTCTCAGCCTCCTCCAGACAATCTGTGGGGTCCATGACCCTAAATGTCGAGAGCCCACAACAAGGTCTGGGGACCATGTGTAGACACATGCACCGACGCCCACACTCACCAAGCGTTATGGGGTAGACGGAGGTCTGTGGTTGGGCCCCAGGTCCACACACCAGCACACAGATCCCTCCTGTGTCCCGCCTGGGGCCAGACGGCGACCTCTGCCTACATGTCTGCCTGACTGTGGCCGTCTGCAGAAGCCAAATGTGTTACCTCAGGGACAAACACCTGCTTTATTGAGGACATAAGGAAGGATGTGCCAAAACCTCTAAAAACAATGTCATCATGGGGAATCCTGGAGGCTGGCAATTCTGATTCATTTGTCTGAAAAACCACCACCCATCCCACTCCCTGGGGGGCACTGCTCCTGGGAAGACCGGCTGTCATGTCTTACCGTGCAGCCAGCTTGTGGCAGACGACACCCGTGTCAGTGATGACCTCACTCAGGCGCAGCTCCAGGTGGACCTTGCCCTGAAAGGCACAAGGACAGAGGGTCACAACAGGATGGCCATGAGCAGAGAAGAGCGCCCAGAGCCTCGGCCCACAGATGTGAAGCTGAGCCCGACCCCCGTGGCATCCACAGCACTTCCCCGACCCCAGTCAGGCCGCAGAAACCAGGGCAGGCTCGTCTCAGAAGAAAGGTCAAAACGCTCAAGAAAAAGGTACTGGAGAAAGCAGCCTCCCAACACTTTTGCTCACTTGCTTTAGGATGTACCCCTTCATACATAAGCTTGTGTGGACACCCGAGTCCTGGGGCAGGCGTGGGCGTCCCCCCGTAGGAACTTAGTGTTCATGGACCCTTCTGAAGGAGATGGACTTGAGCACATGGCTGGACTTTTGAGAGCAAGACCAGTGCTGTGTTTCTGCCTGTGTCTGTGTCTGCACAAAGGTCAGACCAGCTGGAGGACCAACCAGGTTACTGTCAGGGGTCAGGGCTCAGGGGCGGGGGCAGGGGGCACAAGGCCTATGAAGAAGAGAAGCCCGCTCCCTCCAAACTATCCAACAGCAGCCCGTGTGACACAAGACATGTTTATATGAACACACACTACAACATTAAAATTCACACTTTGGGGATCCCTGGTTGGCGCAGCGGTTTGGCGCCTCCTTTGGCCCAGGGCGCGATCCTGGAGACCCGGGATCGAATCCCACGTCGGGCTCCCGGTGCATGGAGCCTGCTTCTCCCTCTGCCTGTGTCTCTGCCTCTCTCTCTCTCTCTCTGACTATCATAAATAAATAAAAATTTAAAAAAAATAAATAAATAAAATTCACACTTTGCAGCTGGAGCCCAACACCAGGCCTGACTCACTACCCCGAGGTCAAGACCTGAGCTGAGATCAAGAGTCTGATGCTTAATGACTGAGCCACCCTTTGGTGCCCCAAAATTAACACTCTCTTTAGTTAGAAAGGGAGACTGAACTGGATAATGTCCGACATCCATTCTGAGTAAAACTTCTAGCCTGCAGCTTGGGGAGGGCCCTCCAAGATTGCCTTGTCCCAGAGAACCCAGGGTACCAAGCACATGGACAAATGGATGGGCCCTGGGAAGGCTGCCTTGTCCGAGGAGAACCCAGGGTGCCAAGCAGATGAATGGATAGACAGACCCTGGGAAGGCTGCCTTGTCCAGGATAACTCAGGGTGCCAGGCAGATGGATGAACAGGCCCTGGGAGGCTGCCTTGTCCCAGGAGAACCCAGGGTGCCAGGTGTATGGATGGATGGACAGAACCTGAGAAGGCTGCCTTGTCCCAGGAGAACCCAGGGTGCCAGACGAATGGACGGATAGACGGATGGACGGATGGACGGGCCCTGGGAAGGCTGCCTTGTCCCAGGAGAACCCAGGGTGCCAGGCAGATGGACAGATGGACAGGCCAGGGGAACGTGGGCAGTATACTCAGCGGTGCCCCCAGTGGCCTCCTGAGTCCGCTCCTCTGAACACTGTGGCCACTGCGGGTCTCCTGTGGCTTCCCAGACACCTGCAGAGCTCCCTGCCAGCCTTGCAGCATGGAGGCCAGCCCCTTGGGTATCTGGCTCGCCCACGACTTTGACAGGGGAGACCTGATGTGCAGGAGGGAGCCGGGCACTGTAGCCTCAGGGTGCCCACCCCTCCCTGTTGTGAGCAAGACCAAGCGCTGCCCTTTCTGAGCCTTCCCTGCAGGACCAGTGGCCTTAGGAGGGGGCAGCGAGACCTCCTGGATGGCAGGACCAGACCAGCCTCAGACCTGTGTGCCCCTGGGCAACACCTAGTACCCAGAGCAGACTCTGCGAGCACCGGGGGCTCTGACTGGTCCGTGCCGCACGCGGACCTCCAGGGTGCTCACCGAGTGGCGTGCATACCAAGAGCAGCCAACTTCCCGAGGGAACCAATGGGCCAGTTCCTACAGAGCCCTGGCAGCTTCTGCCCCGCCGTACCCCTCATCCAACAGAGGTGCACACCGCAGGCTCCCTGGTGCATCACCTCCTGGCCCGCGTAGCTGGGAGAAGGCAGCCTCCGCACCAGGCGGCTCTGCAGACGGAGCCAGCACCCTGGCCGCGCCCTGGGGAGCTGGCTCCCGGCACTCCTTTCACTGAGCCAGGCTGGGCGCAGGGCTCCCAAAGCATCTCATGGGGCAGGCACCACCACTCTGCTGAGGCCAAGGGCAACCGGCAGCCTCCCTCCAAACCAGATGCAGGGTGAAGGCTCAGGACAAAAGCTCAGGACGAGTCACAGAACGGGCTCTTCACCTGTTCTCCAAAGGGCCCACCCCAAGTCTTTCTTGGCTCAATTTTAAGACTGGCAGCGGCCATCCCAACGGCCACATCACACTTTCTTTTCACTAGGCTCTGGGAAGGGAGAGAATGTGTCTGGCTCAGGCGGACCCCCCAGCGAGGACAACCTGCGACTGGTTTCCTGTTTTTCCCAGAAGAGCAGGGACACATCCGCACCACAGAGCCCGTGGCCGCTGCGCTTCCTCTGAGGGTAAGCACTTCCTTACCGACGGGGCAGATCGTGCCGCCACCTCTGGACACTTGGGAGACGACTGTACTAGGGAGCAAAACGGTACAAGCACTGCACGTTGCTGAAAGGACCCCGGCCCTGCCCCCCAGAAACGAACCGGGAGCTCTGTGGTTCACCAGTGCACATCTGTCCTCATGTAGCCAGGCCGCTGGCATGGGTGTGCCCCGTGCCAGAGGGTGACACACCATGTCCCTCACAAACAACCTGCCGCAAACACCTCCACCCGAGGGGCCAGGCCACACCCTGCCCCTCAGGGCAGGCAGGAAGTGTGGCTTCTACAGCATGACACCCACTGAACTCCACCCACCGCCACTGAAAAATCTGAGCCTGTGCTTATCCTGACCTCCACCACCAGCGAGGTCGTCGCAGGCCTGCGGGCGGAGCAGAAGGCAGAAGGGGCAGCGGGGCTCCCGGCGGCACCCAGAGCCCAGGCGGGGGCAGGATGGCCCTGACCAGGTGGGCTTGGACCCCGCAGGCATCCCTGTGTCTGTGAGAACAGAAGAGTCTTAGGTGCATTCCCAAGGCTGATTGAATGGTTTCCCCCTTTGATTTAAGGTGAATGATGATATCACGGGGCCCAAACAGCGGCTGGGAGGTGAACAGCGCCCGAGCCCGGGCACCGGCTGCAGCCTCAGCCCATGCCATCAAATCACTCATCTGCTCTCAGAACAGCATGAGGGAACTGGACTCGGTGGCACAAAACAGTTTGGAAGTCCCCAAATACTCGAAGATGAAACAGCGTACCACCCAGTCCAAAGAGGCCAAAGAAAAAGTCTCCAGAGAAGCTGAGATATTTTTAATTCATTTCTTTTTTGTAAATGAAAATGAAACTAAAACTTACCATAACATGTGGGATGCGGTGAGAGCAGTGCTTACAGGGACATTTATAGCAGCGACTGCACACGTTCACAAGGAAAGATCTAGCGTCAGTAACATCAAGACACCAGCAGAAACAAAAGAATCAGAGCAGAAATCAAACAGATTCAATCTCTAGCCAAGCTAAGAAGCTGGAGAACACAAATCACTAATAATGGGATGAGAGAGGGGCCGTCCTGTGGGATCGGGGACCGTGGCTCCCAACACCACCACCCTTGTCCAACCAAGAGCGCCCCCCTCCAGGCACACTGTCAGCTCCCCAACCATAACGGATGCAAGGACCCGCCAGGTGGGGCAAGGACGTGGGACTTCCTCCAACTTTCTGCTCAACTTTCTGCAACATGAAATGGCTTGAAAAATAAGGTTTACTAATTTAAAAAGAAAAAAGCACCAGTGGTTCACACACATTTTCCTCAGGAAAGCCGCAGACATCAGATCCCTGGCCTGCAGAGAGAGCCCTGGTCACAGGCTGTGGTCATGGCAGCCGAGCACACTCCCTGTCCCCTCGAGCCCTGGTCTGCATGGGCCTTGGGGCTGCGGTGGGGTCAGACTTCTGAGCACTTGGACCCTAGCGCCAAGAGCAGGTGAGACTCCCGTGAACACAGAAGGGGAGAGAACAAGCCAGGAGCCGTGCCGGCCCTTCCCTCCTCAGAGTGGGGTCCTCGTATGTGCACAACTGCTGGGAATCCTTCAAGCAGGACTCTCTGACATGCACGATGATCACCATCCCCAGAGCTCCCAGGCCTGCTTCTAAAGGGGCCAGAAGAAGGCCAAGGTTTGCCCTCAGAGCTCACACAGTTTCACAGCAAGCCTACAAACAGAAGAGCACACAGCAGAGTTAAGCAGCAGCCGGGCATCCTCGGGGGAGCCGGGGAAGGGCCCCGGGGCCGCTCAAGTGGTGGGTGGGAGACCGTCTCCCTCCCAGTTTTGACACCACAAAGGGCCCCTCCCTGCCAACACCTTGTGCTCATACTACCCACCCAGGGTCAGAGAAAGAACACAGCAACTAATTCTTTTTTTTTTTATAATAAATTTATTTTTTATTGGTGTTCAATTTACCAACATACAGAATAACACCCAGTGCTCATCCCGTCAAGTGCCCCCCTCAGTGCCCGTCACCCATTCACCCCCACCCTCCGCCCTCCTCTCCTTCCACCACCCCTAGTTCGTTTCCCAGAGTTAGGAGTCTTTATGTTCTGTCTCCCTTTCTGATATTTCCTACCCATTTCTTCTCCCTTCCTTTATATTCCCTTTCACTATTATTTATATTCCCCAAATGAATGAGAACATACACTGTTTGTCCTTCTCCGATTGACTTACTTCACTCAGCATAATACCCTCCAGTTCCATCCACGTACAGCAACTAATTCTTTTAAATTTTTTTTAATTTTTTATTTATTTATGATAGTGAGAGAGAGAGAGATAGAGAGAGAGAGAGAGAGAGGCAGAGACACAGGCAGAGGGAGAAGCAGGCTCCATGCACCGGGAGCCCGATGTGGGACTCGATCCCGGGTCTCCAGGATCGCGCCCTGGGCTGAAGGCAGGCGCCAAACCGCTGCGCCACCCAGGGGTACCAACTAATTCTTTTAATAAAGTGCTTTTCCAGAGACCTTTAAAACATCAATTCCAGAAGGAAGCAAGATATTGTTTAGATCACCTTTTCCCCCAATACTAGGGAAATACTCCCCAATACTCCTTCATCTCTCATTGGTCCCAGTTTGTGACACCTTCTTTCTGACAAATGCCTTTTACTGTGATCACAGAATAGATGGATTCAAGAAACCACCTGCCATCCTCTGACCTTCTACGACTGTAAGGGCGACATTTCGGAATGAAAAGGGGCTGCGAGGAAAGATGCTGATGTGTTTCCGGAGGCTGTGTGAATCCAGGGGAGCTCTGCCCGTCTGCAGGGTGACACCTCGAGGCAGGCACACTGCACACGAGCTGTCACCAGGCCTGGAGCCAGGCCAGCCGACACATAGCCTGTCCTGTCCTCACAGTCCGGGCAACACCCACCTGCTGTTCATGATTCAGACTCCCAGGAAACTGGCCTGCCCAAAGGCAGCATCCAGGCCAGAGATCAGGCTAAGCAGGACAAGGACCTCCTCCCTGGCTATGTCCACTGGGATGTAGTCTACACACCGGATGACTCACACACACCCACGTTCCTCGGTTTTGTGGTGGATCTCGACTGCAGTGATGGTTGCACAGACCTACACGTGTGCTAAAACACACAGGTGCACACACGTGCATGCACACACGCGGGTTTAGACACATAAACTGGTGAGGTCCAAACAAGGTCCATGTCCTGGCTACGGCCAGTCAGCAGGATGCAGCCACAAGGAAACAGGGTGAAGGAACACGGCCCCTTCTTTACTGTGTTCTGTATAAATAGGAGAGTGCACAGCTGCTCATCATTATTCCTCGTGTACTATTTTTTTTTTTGCAACTTCCTATGAATCTGAAGCCATTTCAAAATGAAAAGTTTAAACACAAGACAAGAAGGAAGACAAGCCCCACTCAACAAGGACGCCAAACTGATCAGGGTAACACAGTGTGAAGGGCATGCTGGACACACAAGCTGTCTCCACAGAGGAGAAGGGATGGCAATATAGCCAGCACAAGTGGCAGGATGAGCCCCATCACCCCATATACGCCCCTGCAGCCCACGTCCCACAGATAAAGTTTTCGAGCAGCCTGCGCAGGAGCGGCGCTCACCATCACGGCAAGGACTGCTCTGGGCTTCGGGCACAGACACGCATCCTGCATGACCTGCCGTGTCTGCTAACTTCGGCAGCACGTGCAGCCCCCAGGCCAAAATTACATGTGAGGGGCACTGTGACCTTCCCTTGCACCACCTCTTCCTCCAGGTCTGTGGGCTGAACCCTGGGGCTCCCAGGGGCCTGCACACCCTGTGACCACTGTAGGCAGAAACCCCATGCCTGAGAGCCCAGAGGAAGCCAAGGGTCAACAAGGAAATGGAGGACACGTGGCTGGACAGGTGCCTGGAGGTGGGGGGGGGGGGGTCCCACCAGCCTCCTATTTTGGGGCTTCTGCTGCATCAAGCACTGTCTCGTCTTCACAGAACCCTGCTTTACAGAGGAGGAAACAGGCTTGCTGCCCCCTAGGTCACACACCCAGGCCAAACCCCAGCCCTGCACAGGACCACTAACGAAAATGCTCCTGTGTCTTGAGGTCGGGGGCACTGTGCTGTCTGGTCAGGGTTTGACATCATGGGCTCTGGGCATGAGCATGGGGTTAGGAGCTCAACTGGAACCACAAAAGCAGGGTTGCCCTCCCAGCGGGTGTTGTCCCAGATGCTTGGGGACATGTAGTGCCCCCAGCTTGGGGAAGGGAGGGCTGGGAACTGGGGTCCCTGTCGGGGGGGAAGCTTTGGATGCAGGGAGTTAGTCTCAGGTGACACAGGGCCCAGGCGAGCCAGGGGAGCCCTGGGAACATGTCAGACAATGGGAAACTCAGTGACTGGTCACTCATTTGCTGGTGTAGGAGCTGGAAGTGCACAGGCCCCTCTGGCAACCAGAACCTGAAGCCTGAGGCTCCGCATATTGCTCCCACTCCAGGATTTACTTCTGCTTGCCTGTATTTTCTCTTTACCTTCAGTTATGTGTGATTTTTTTCCTTTCTAATTTTATATTTTTAAAGCTATTTCAATCACACATGACAAAGTGTGATAATAACCAAAAGAATACGCAGAAGTAACACGCCTCTATTCACTGTAAGAAGACCTACCTTATAATTGCCATTCCCCAGTGAGACCAAAGTGCCCTCTGCTCCCACGGCCCCACCAAGGGCTCACCTGCACTTCCGAGTCTGCATCCACATGCTGCAGCTGGAACCATGTGTCCCTGTTATGATACTTCGGCAAGTCTTCTTTCTGAATGGCCACCTTCCCTACAACAGATGCAGAGGAACAAAGGTCACGAGGGAATGAGTGGCACTCTCTCCACGGACGGGCAAGCTGCTAAAACCACGTCCTCCTTCCAGTAAGATCAATACAGGCAACGATTCATCTGGAAGGCCTCCCATGAGATCCGTCTGGGGCTGCCGCCTGGCCTGCTCCTCCATATGAGGTTTAGAAGAAGAAAAAGCTACCCTTCTGTCCGGTCCTTGGGAACTCAGCACTGGCCACCCCAAAATAGGCCACTAGGAGCTGCCGGCAAATGAGAATGAGCAGGTGCAGAAAGAGGTCCTTGTGGAGTCCCCTAAGCTGCCCACACACGGAAACTTCTGAAGAGTGAGGCCTGCCACAGACCCTCTGCTGGGAGGTGTTAGGGTAAAAGGTCAGGCAGTGCCCCAAGATGGTCCTGCATGAACAAACCTGACTCCACTCGTCCCACGCCCTTGCCTTCCCACGGTCAGCCATGCTCAGAAGCCCGGAACCTCCCCCCTTATCAGGTGGCTTCTCTGGGTGTGGGCTGCTTGTTGGCCCAGGTCCAGCCAGCTCCTGGAGGTACTCATCACGAGATGCCTCCTGCCTCACATAAGCTTCAGGCATGAGGAGCTGTTCCTCTCAGCTAATCTCTTCTGTGAACCCGATTTCACAGGCCCTGCCTCAGCAGGTGGAGGGAGGTTCTGAGAGCTTGGTCAGCCAATCTCTGCCCTGGATTCCAGACCCTCTGAGACCCACCCATGGGGCACAGAAGGGTGTCTGGATGGCAACACACGTGCAGAAGAGACATTCCAAGTGCCCAAGAGCTGGGACCTGGGGGTCTCATGTCCCGGCCTTCAGCCCCCATCTGCCTGTCAGCGGTGCCATTCATCACTTCAGCACATTTACATCTCTCACATTCTCAAGAGGAAGGTCACCTTGCATAGCCAGTTATCAAACAGCCTCAGGAAAGACCCTGGAATCACCCCACTGGGGTTGTCAGCAAGGCCAGTACTTGTGCCCCTGATGTTATGTGGCACATCAACACCCAATATTTGGTCTACATCCAGAACTGGTGGAAGGTGGTGCAGCTCTTGTCCAGTGGGGACAGCCAGTCTGTCCAGCAGCCTCATCCTGGTAAAGGGACATACCCTGTGTGCGAGCAGCCAGCTGCTGGACCTGCAGCTCCTTGACATTCGTTATAGGCCAAGACCATGTTCTTGGAACCCCTCCCTCTGGTGCTAAAATTCTCTACCTAGGAAACCCAAGGCTGCCAAGTAAGTGCAAGGGAGCCAGACAACTGCACCCGATCCATGCCCTCCTCCACAGGACACTTTCATTTGACCCCAAGCCCACTCTCTACTACACTCCTCACCTCGAGGGGCCTGCCTCTCACCTGCAGCTGACCTTGCACCCATGGCCACAAGTGAACTGGTGGGAGGGCGGTGAGGTCAGCTCTCCCTGGACCAGATCATGGCACCCTACTCCTGCAGCTTTGGGTTTAGGAATGGGCCCTCAGGACAAAGCTCCAGACTCAAGTCTATGTGTCTCTGGCTGGCTGGTCACCAGGGTATGCACGAGGCTGCTCCAGGCCTATGACCCCATCAGATCAGGCACTAAAAACCCTGATAGGCCAGTGACCTGGTGCTCATTCCCGTGACACAATCTGTACTCTCACCCTCATAACAGCATAATTACCAGCCATAATTCTGGTTTCTTCCTGGAGATCCAGATGGCCACTATTCCTCCAGCAGCAAAAATGAGGTGGAATGTCTAGGTCCAGCTGCCAAAACACCAGTTTAAATGCCACCAACAGCTGCCAAACCATGATTTTGCTGGCTATCTTTAAAAATAGCAGATACTTGGGGCACCGGGGGTGCTCAGTTGGGTAAGCATCTGCCTTCGGCTCAGGTCATGATCCAAGGGTCCTGGGATGGAGTCCCGCACCAGGCTCCCTGCTCATTGGGGAGCCTGCTTCTCCTCCTGCCCCTGCTTGTCCTCACTCGTGCTCTCTCTAATAAATAAAATCCTTTAAAGAAAATAAATAAAATAACAGATACCTTAAACAGGATAACTAACAAATATCTTATTTGGTTATTTTGAGGAGAAATAATCTCACAAATCAACTTGAGCAGTTTCTCTAAAATGTGCAAATGTGCATTTTTTTTCCTTAGGATTCCCACTCAGAAAAGATTTTTCATAGGTTTCCAAAGATTAACAAACTCATCTTTATTTATAGTATAATCCAGGCCAATTGCTAAGAGCTCCACTGTGGGGTTTACCCGTCATACTGGGGTATCAGATCTGCAGAACCACCAGGGACCATGTAACACCCTCTATCTCTGTCTGCTTCGTCCCTTTTGTCCTTTTTTGTTTTTTGAATATTTTATTTATTTATTCATGAGAGACATACAGAGAGAGGCAGAGACACAGGCAGAGGGAGAGGCAGGCTCCTCGCAGAGAGCCTGATGTGGGACTCAATCCTGGGACTCCAGGATCAGGCCCCGGGCCAAAGGGAGGCGGTCAACCACTGAGCCACCCAGGCGTCCCCCTTTCGTCCTTGAACAGACCTTTGCACACCCAGCAAGTAATGAATAGAGACACCCAGGCCCTGCCTCGAGAAGCTCCTAGACCCATGCACATCCTAAAAAACTCCAGCTATTTCTCCTTAAATCATAGCACCCTCCAAGAAGGTAGCTGTTGGAAATGCAGGCTCTCAGGTTTTGCCCCAGCCTGTGAATCAGCAGTGGCATTTTGGCAAGTGTGCAAAGCTCTGGCCTACACTGCAGAAACATCACCAGAGGCATGGATCATTTCTGAATCAGCACCTCTTTACCCCAGCACCAAAGCTGCCTTCAGACTTTCTAAATTTGAATTTCTGGTCATTGGTCAAACAGAAGACTACCACTCGTGTTTGCTGGACTAGGAATGCGGAGGCAGGCAGCACGCTCAAGGTGGCTCCCACCACAGGAGGCACACGGTCAAAGGAGTTTCTGGTGGGACAGGAAGAATGCTGCCTTCCGACCAACAGGCTTTGCAGAAGAAGGGCCTCCCTGGCCTGTGGCTGGCATCTCCCACCCTGCCGTCCTGGACCATGCAGAGCTACGCTCTTCAGGTAGAAGAAAACCCAGCACAAGAATCTGGTATCTAGATGTTAGATTCACAGTCATATGGTTCCATTCCAAAAATGAGAAATGTGTGGCCAGGACTAGAGCAGATACCAATGATGATGGGGAGTCCTGAATGAGTCAGCTTTATGGGTTTACACCAAGTGTGTTTTTGGTGCTGGGAAATATTTGGGGCTGGAAGTGGTGAGGACAGTGGTGAAAGATGGTGGAACAAGGTACAGGATGAGGGCTAGAGGATGGTAAATGTTACATGATGGCTGGGGAATATGGAGAACATATGAAGGGTGATGGATGGTGGGGAGTGGGGGATGGTGGAGAATAAGTGGTGATGGCAGAGAAGGGTGGACGGTCTGATGGTAGAGGTGGGTGGAGGGTGGTGGTCTGATGGTAAAGGAGGGTGGATGGTAGTGTGATGGTGGAGGCGGGTGGATGGTGGAGGAAGTGATGGTAGTCTGAAGGTGGAGGAAGGTGGATGGTGGAAGAGGGTGGATGGTGGTCTGATGGTAAAGGAGGGTGGATGGTAGTCTGATAGTGGAGGGGGGTGGATGGCAGCTGATGCATGATGGGTGGAAGGTGATATATGGTGATGATGGGTTTCTGCTCATGGCGGATGTGGAAGATGCTATCTCATCCTGGCACGAGTAAATCATCTGTTACCACTGTCATCCCCATGTCCCACCTGCACACCCTCCACTAGGACCACATCCACAATTTCCAGCCCCGTGTGTGTCCCAGCACCACCCCCCACCTGCTGATGCAAACCCATAGCCAGGAGCTTCTCCCTCCCCATCAGCCTGCACATGCAACCAACGACTGCCTCCAAGTGAAGTCTGCAAAGCACAATGTAAAGCGACACGAAAACTTGGGGACCTGGCTGCAGGTGTGCACACCATCTGGCTTGTTTCTACCAGCTCCCCCTCTGAAGGTAGAGTGCAGCAAAGAATTGTGAAGGCTAAAGGGCTCAGATTCATAGAGCACCTGGAACAAGCCCCTGCACCTACTAAATACTCTGTAAACATGTGAAGTAAGTAAATAGATATGCACCAGATACTTCCATTTTACATCGCTTTTCCTTTCCTACAACATGAATCACTGCTGGATAGTTCTGGAGTAAGTGGGCAGCACCTACCATTCTTTCAGAGTAAGGGTAGGGAAGAAAGGAGAAAAGTCAGAATGAAAGCCAATCAGATGGCTCATTAAATGGGATGGTGTGTTTACACTCCCAGGACCAAACACTGATTTCTATCTTCAGCCATGAAATGTTTTTAGTGAGCAACATAGATCATTTAGGCCCTAATACAGGGATTCCATTCAGAGATTTCTGGTACAACTTTGGTACACGTCATCATTTTTCAGCTAAGCCGCCCTAGCCAGAATAAAGCAAGGATCGACACATTCTCTGCCCCACACGTGGTCCAAGACCCAGAAGAGGAAAACCAGGTGAGAGAGTGTCCATGATGGAGCGTGGGGTGGGAAGGGAAGGGCAGGCAGGGCAGGGCTCTAAGGCACATCCCCTCTTGGTCCCCAGGGACAGGGCAGGAGCAGATCAGCAGGTCATGACTGTTGCCACTACCAGTGGGTCTGCTGCTTCCATGGGAAGGTGACTACTGCCCTCTCCTGAACATTGGCCACGGGAACGTTCACTCACACAGCAGGCAATGGGGGCCCAGAGCACCAGGGAGAGCAGGCACCCTGAGTGCTGGACGGACTAGGGATGCTCTGCATGAAGTTCAGGAAGCTACCTGTCACATACTGGTAGGATGAAAGGTGATCTAGACTGGGAGGGGGTGTGGGGTGATGGATGGGAGACCCATTAAAGGGTCTTTGGAGGAACCACAGCAGGTGTGGACACAACTCCTCCTCTCCTGCCTCTGACCCTCCAAATATGACAGGAGATACTTAGCCCATTGACTTAGTACCTGCTGGCTGTGTATCTTCAGGCAAGTGTGTCACGCCCTCTGAGCCTGCGTCTACTTCATGTAGCAAGTGGAGGGAGTATCTATATCCAGGGGTGAAGACACAGGTCAAACGCATGCTTTCATGGGAACACCTGGCACAGTGCCTGGTACATACATGTCTCCATCTAACTCTAAGAATCACCTGAGGACTCCACTATGGAGTTTTAGGCTGAGCCCCTGACGATGTGGGTCCGTCGGCATGGATGAAGGCTGGGTGCCTGGGACATGGGAGAGAGGCTGAGCATGAGCTCAATGCCGCAGCACAAGTCTGATGTTGGAGAGCGAGGGCATGTTTAGAAGCCTTCTGATGTTGGGAGGGTGTCATAGGAGCCCCTTGCGGAGGGCAGTCTGCACAGGTGCCCAGTGGGGCACACACTTGTGTGTGTGAACACAGATACATTGAGAAATACAGATAACCATTTGGGTCAGATTATGGAAGGTCTTCAAGGCATGCTATGGAATAGAGTTCTTTCTCCAGGCCAAATCCAGCAGTGAGGCTAAGAAATCGGCAATTTCTTTCTTCCTTCTCTCTCTCTCTCTCTCTCTCTCTCTCTCCTTCTGGATAAATTGAGCTCTAAAATGGGAGCACATGACACCAGAACAGGGTTTCTTCAGGAGGGAGACTATCTATAACACACTGTGAATTTCTAAGGTGGAATAAATATAATGAACAGAGGTACTTTCAAAAATCATCCATTTTCTCAACAAACGTTTAGCGACTGCCTCCCAAGCCAAAGGGAGAGACCTGACAGTCACTGCTGAGCCCTGCCTCCGCGTGGAGCTTTTTCATAGGTGAGCTATACACTGTGAGGAGGTGCTGGGGCCCGTACACCGAAGAGGCAGCTCAGGCCATCCCAGCACAGGGTCAGGGCTGCCGCTGGGAGGGGAGAGAGTGGGCTCCAGGGTCCCAGGTCAGGAGTGTGAGGAAGAGGCAGGGATGGGCCTTACATGGTGATGCAGAGCCTTGGGCAACGAGCAGGAACTCAGCACAACCAGACCCAGAAGTAACCGCCAGATGGCATGATGCTTAGAGGCCGAGGGACAGCTACAGGGGAGGCCACCACTGCCCAGAGTGCTGCTGGCCTGGGTAGGTGACCTCCTCAGGGGCCGGGACACCCAGGAATGAGGCATGGACACTCCATGGTTCAAGTGCTCTATCCTGGAGCTAAGTCCCTCAGACATCCCCCAGGAGCGGCCATGGCCACAACAGGGCCATCATATGGTGCTTGGAACCCAACAAATACATGTGCACCCACAGTTAGCCTCTTAATTTCTAGTTTTGGTGCCACAGAGAATATGAATAGGGTCCTCCTGGGACAAGGACCCTTTTGACTCGAGGAGGCTGCGCTGTTCCACAGCTCTCTTCTTTCTCCAGGAGTGCTCTGCTGAAATGCCAGTGCCTGAGAGCACCCCAATTCCTCTGAGAACCCCAGGGACCAAGAGCACCCCAATACCTCAGAGAGCCCCAGGGCCCCTGAGAGCACCCCAATACCAGAGAGGGATGTCAAGAGTCAGGGACAAGTGTAGTCTGGGGATTTGCGGGGCATGTCCTCTGCACACTGTCCCTTCAGAGGGGCAGGGCCCTTGGAGGTCATCTGGGGACAGGCTCCGTGGTCACTGTATGCTCACTCTGAAGGACAGTCTGAAGCCCTTGCTCTGGTCTCTCCCATGTGAGCTCTCATTGTGGAGCTCCTCTATACCTGACGGGGCTGGAGGGAACCTAGGCAGCTTACCCCTGCCACAGGAAGCTCAGGAACCCACCCAGGGCAGGGGGGGACGCCACCACCAGGACAGCAGGTACCCACTGCCACCTGTGCTGCTCAGCACAGCCGGGAAAGCCAGGCCAGGAGTGTGACGGACGTTGCTGGCTCAGAGCAGAGAGCCCAGAATGAGGCCCCACCCAGAAGAGACGGAAAGGATGAGAACACCCGTGTCAGCACCTACCTATGATGGAGTCCCTCCGGAACACGTCTCTATCAAAAATGTAAAATGACAGGTGCCGAAAACTCCGAGGGATTTCGCAGTAGAAGTCTTCTCCATAGAAGGGGCTGAGAAAGAAGCAGAACAGGCTCTGTTAGGTTCTGGATGCAGTGGCCCGGCCACCCCCAGGGTCGGCCGTCTGCACACAGGCCACCAGCCTTGGGCACACACGTTAACGCGCTTTTACATGTATCATAAACACGCCACTTTGCGTTTCATCTGTGAGGTGGGAAATGGCGGTTTGTTCGCTGGGGTTGAATGTGTGGGGTCATAAGGCCGCTGCACCGAGTGGGCACTGGCGGTGCTGGCGGAGCTCTGCACAGTGAGGACAGTGTCTGCAGTGCCCCAGGACTGCTGGGACCCTGGGAAGGCGTGCTCAGTGTCCCAGCTCCAGGCCATGCTACTTGTTCCCTGGAAGTTGGGGTGATGTCTGCGCCTCTCACGGGAAGAGGACGGGCCCCCCAGGCTGACCCTCCATGGATTCACAGAGACCCAAAAAGAGCTGCAAATCCCGGCTAAGCGGCCAAAACCCAGGGCTCTGTCACTAAACAGACCCCCAGCTGCTCGTGGGGGGCCAGGCTGAGTCCGCGCACATGGTCTGCACACAGCAGACAGACACACACTGGAGACGCCCTGGCTGCTTCTGCGATGGTCGGATTACGGCACACCACCGCCTCGGACTCGGCCAGGATTCCACTTCCACGCATGTTTACAGCCAAGGTCCAGAGCAGCAAACGTGACCCATCAGGGAAGCTGGAATGATATGAGCTCCTGCTCAGGCTGGAATGAAGGTGGAGAAGGTGGCCAGTGTGGTGCCCCATGGCGGAAGTTCACAGTGAGGGACACACGTGTCCCCAGAACTGCCGGGACAGCATTTTAGAAAACATGGCGGCAAATCCCAGTCGAGGGGCAGGAAGCTGGAGGTTCCACGCCAGAGAACCCTCTCCAGGGTGAGAAACCTTTAATTCCATACCCATAGATGTCTAACACAAGCCGTGAGGTCATCATGGTCTCCAGAGCAATCACGTGTGACATGTGGGCAGCACATGGATTCTCCTCAGCGACACAGAACCCCACCCCATGCCCTCAGGCATGCCACTCGGGGCAAGGCTTCACCTCCGAGGGCACAGGAAAACCAGGGTAGTGTCTGCACCCAAGGAAAGCACTAGACTGCAGGGAGCCACACTCCACGTGACCTGCAGCAGCACGACACCCAGGTGTGGGTGGCAGGCACATGCTCGTGCAGGCTGGCGGGGTCCCAGACAGAGCACGGGCCTGACCTTGAGGGCTCCATCTGCAGGTACCAGCTCCCCGCTGACTCCCGCTCGTCCCACTGACTCCCGCTTGTCCCAAACTCAGCAAAACCACCCCAGCAAGACATAGCTTTCCGCCAAATGTGTACATTCTTAGAGCTTCCCTGTGCTTCCAAAGTCCCCTACAACTTCAGTTGTCTGCTTTAAAAAGAGGAACATTCGTGGATAAGAATGTTTCCTATAATTTTTAACTAGAAACACTAACAAGTGCAGTGAGAATGTGGAGAAGCCAGACAATGCAGGGATGTGCACTAGTTCGGCTGCTTTGGAGACAGTGGCAGTTCCTCAAAATGGTGAACAGAGTAACTGTGTGGCCCAGCAAGCCCAGAGCAGTGGGATCACACATCCACACAGGGGAGGATCATCATCCACCTCAGAGAGCAGGCATGCTCGGGGACCTGTGGCCCACGGGTGAACCCTGACGTCGTGACACTCAGTGAAAGAAGCCACAAAGGCCACACACTCATGTGATTCCATTTCCACGAAGTGCCCTAAACAGGCAAAGCTATGGCTGCCAGAGAGCAGTGTGCCAGTAAGAAACAGGAGTGAAGGGGATGAGTTTCTCTTCAGGGACACGAAAATGTGCCAAGTACACTGAAAACCACGGAATTAGACATCTTACATATGTTAATTACATGGTATGTGAATTGTATCTCAATAAAGTTATATTTTAAAAACCAAAATTTTAAAAATACATAAAGATGTCAGGAAGTGAAAACCAAGTTAACACCATAGGGAATATCCTCCTGGATTTTTTTCTCTGAAACCATATGACTATAGAACAGAAATAGATGTGGATGGAGACATATTTTTGAAATAAAAAGTAGGATTACATTATACATCCCAATCTTTTAATATCATGCCATGGACCACTTTCCAAATAAGTGCATAAATAAAATGTTTGTTGCCAAACAGCACCTGAGGTCTGAGTGGGCCTCCCTGGGGGTCAGAAGTTCCCAACCCCGATGGGCGCCAGTGCTGTCCAGATGCACCCCCGGCCATCCACCTGTCCCTGAGGGGCCCCCAGGGCACGCCTGCTCGGCAGAAGGAATCACACTGTGCGACTCTCCAGAAAGTGAGCGCACATACAGTCCACTCCCCTACCAACACCGTGTCTTACCAACATTTAGAGACTCGGCTAATGTGATGGCAAACAGGCCTCCTGCTTTCACTGGCAAAGTTGAAGTCATTGGTGCAGTTCTGAGTAGGGCACTTCAGTTGCAACGCCTGGGGCCCGTGTTCTATTACTGCCCACCTTCTCATGTCCACTGAGAACTTTCTACTGTGTGTCCCAGACTGGGAGATACATAACTGATACACAGCATGTAAGAAATATCTTTTTATCTGGAAACAGCACGATTTGTTAATAATATGTCATCAACCAGCAAGGACAGGTACGTGGTCCAGCAAAGTAGCAGAGTTCCTGCACTTGGGAGCAGACGCTGCCTGGGCAGCGGTGCCATCTTCAGGGCAGGAGGGTGGACATCACACGGACCCACAGTGGTGCCCCTCCCCTGTGTGTCCTCCACCCCAGATCATCCAGACAACCCCATCCCCTTCCTGGTCAACAGTTAAGTTCACACTGGTCTCTTCACAGGCAGCAGGCTTGGAAGCATGTTCCCAAAGACAAGGGAAGCTAAAGGGTTCTCTCATGCCCACCCTTCCCCATGTGCCCAGCAAGACAGTATCTTCTTTCTGGTGAACTCAGAGAGGCTCCAGCCCCCAACTTCCCCCTCCTGCACATGAGCAGCTTAACCTGGGGTATCTGTCTGCACAGACCCCACTTTTCTGTCTGCACAGACCCCGCTTTGTCCCCAGCCGAGGTCAGCAGCAGTCAGATGCATGACTCATGCCCCACATACTTGGCCCCACTTGCAGCCTGAGGGCTCCAGAACCCTCTTTCCAAATAAAGAAAAAAGCAGCCCAGAGGACTTGGCTCGCCTTAAATACTGCTATCTGACAGAAGGAAATTAACGTGTGCCGCAGCATCCACCCCCAAGGCTGGCCAGAGTGACGAGCTCTTTCCTTCTGTAATTACTGCGAGAAGCTCACATGGGGTTTCACCAAATCCAGGGAAGTCTCACAAGGAGAAAAGAAAACACCTCCCACCAAACACGGAGTTGATCTGTAAGCAACTCCAACAAGGGAAATGGCCTGCCTTCCTCCCACTCCCCCCAGAGCCCAGATGTGCAGCCTCGAGGGTCAGACGGGGCCTCCTCTGGGACCCGTGGAGAAACCGCAGCCTTCTCCATGAGTCACTTCCCAGCATTTGCGCGAGGCCGGCGGTGCACCGCCCACACCCAGGCTGCTAGCCCTGCGGCCATGGGGCTTGCTCACAAGAAAACAGCTGTGCGCCTGGTTTTCTCTGGTTTCATGCTGTGTCGCAAACGCCCAAGTGCATTTCCCAACATCTGGGTGGAGGGGCGGACAGGCAGGGGGGCGGATGGGCGCAGAGGGGGGCGGACGGGGAGAGGGGCAGGGGGGCAAGGGGGTGGAGGGGCAGGGGGGCAAGGGGGTGGACGGGGCGGAGGGGGGTGGACGGGCAGGCTGCCTGAGCTGCTCCAGATTGGGGGTAGCTGGAGAGGCTGCGTGCCCAAGAACAAGCAGCCCCACTAGGACTATTCCTGCCTCAAGGTGGAAGCTGTAGATGTGCCACAGAGAAGGCCAGGCTGAGGGTAGAGCCTCCAGAAGTCGTGGGGGCAGGCTCCCAGAGCGACTCAGGTCCAGCCCACAGCCCAACAGGACCTGGATGCCAGGCAGGCAGGATGGGTTTTCCAAAAAGGGCACCAGCCCATCTCCACACAGCTCAGAATTCAGCTAATAAAATGTGGCTAAATCACTAAATAAAAGCTGGATTAAAATTTCATTATACCAAATACTATTGAAACGTCCATAGGAGAAGAACAAGAAATACCAAGGAAGCTGTGTGTGGGCACGGCCCACAGGGACCACTGAGCCCGAAGCATCCGTGTGTCCATGTGCAGCAGGTGGGCTCAGAAAGGAGCCCCAGAGACACAGGCCTCTGTTGCCAGTTACCTCCACAGGCTCTCAGAGCATGAAGAAAACCTGGTTTCTCACTTCCCTCAAACCTTCTTTAAATCCCTGTGTGACCTGGCTCCCCAGCACCCGAGAGCCTTCACCACAGAGCCTTGCCCTTCCAATGAGATGTGGCACCTGCCTGGGAGGCAGGATACTCGGCCTCTGTGCTAAACGCCAACCCCAACTCATGTCACAACCCGACCTGCTCACAGCAGCCCCATGGAGGGGCTGCTCCCCGACAGAAAGCCACTCTGATCCCACGAAGGGCAGTATGAAGATATGCATCTTGCACTCTTGCAGCGGGGACAGGAGGGATGTAGCTAAGCCTCCGCCAGGAAGGGGAGAATCTGAGGTGGGATCCCAGAGTTTGTCCCCATGTTGGGCAGAAGTTCCTGCCTGGGCGCTTCCCACAAGTCACCTGGACCAGTCACTGCCTGCACTGGAGGGCGCAGGGCTGGGGTGCTGGCCATGAAGCACTGATGAGTCCACGATGGCCACTGCAGACCCCAAGGACAGTGAGGACATTTGAGAGGGTGGTCTGACAGGCAGGGCCAGAGGAGCCCCAGCTCAGCATCCGGCAGGCACAGCACTAGGCAGGAACACACTCAGAGCTGCCCACACTCTTCCCAAAGCACCAGGATTGGGATTCTTCCTAGAGCACTAGGGGACCATGGAGAGACAGATCCCCACCTGGAGCACCCCAGAGCGCTGGGGGGATGGGTCCCCGCTTGGAGCATCCTGGAATGCTGGGGGGACAGGTCCCTGCCTGGAGCACCCTAAGATTGTGAGGCATGGATTCACCTATTCCACCTGGCAAGGATTGTCTGGGCCTAAAGCCTACATTTATGTCCAAAAGACTTCTTTTAAATTTAACTGGAGAAATTAGAGATAAAAGTAAATGTTAGGAGAAACTGTTAGGTGTTCATAAATCAAACATAACAGCTTCATAAATCAGTGTTTGCTCATCAACAGCTTGGTTTTTATTAAAAACTTCCAAGAAACTGAAATCTGTCTTTCCAAACCACAGACTCCTTGCTGTCCCTTTCAGGGTCTAGGCCCAGATGGCTTCTCCCCTAGGACTATGGGGCCCCGAGGACGGGGGCATCCTTGTTGGGGCAGGTCCTGGCACGCTGTAGGGCTGGCTTCTGAGCAACCATCAGCTTCCAGGGTGAGCAGAAAGGCACTGTCACGTCACAGACCCACTCGCACCCTCAACTCCAGATTGGAAGTGCACACCCACCCTGCCTGGGAGCGACCTTTCCTCAGGGAACGTTTTCAGCAAGAACGACAGGATGTGGGCGCTATAATCATGCCCCTGTCCATAAATATGGTGATGAGCTAGCTCCTCCTCACTTTCCTGCAGAAAGTGGTTATTTTACTGTCTAACTTTTAATTTCATGTAAAAAAGCAAAACCAAAAACATACTAACAAAAGAACAAAAATACCCCCCATAATCCCACACCCCTCCCCCTGCCAAATAACCACACTGACATTTATGTCCACATATTCCAGGCCATTTTTGGAACAATCCCAATTTTTGAACCAAAGGAACCCTACTGTGAATGCAGTCTGTGACCTGCCGTTAACAGCAGAGTGAGCACCATTCCGTGTGGACCTGAGGAGGCACCAGAGCCCGGCCTCTGCGGGAAGATAAGAGGGGGCTGCAGGCCAGGTGGTCGGGCGATCCCCCCAGACAGCAACACACATGAACCCCGGTGAGAGGATGAAGGAGGCGGCTGCCCGTGGGGGGTCCCAGAGCAGCGTCCCCATCTGTCAGAGTGGCTGCCGGAGAAGCTGACGGTCAGATCAGGAAGCCTGGGGCAGCTCCTCTCCAGGACAGGAGCTCTTCTTACATTTTGTGGGGATTTTGTGGGAAAAGGTAGGCAATGCCCTCCTCACAATAAGCATATATGTTGACAGAAAAAAATGAAACCACTCTGAAATACTCTTGAGAATGAGTGGGCTAACCCAGCACTCAGGAGGTCTTGTTGTTAACTTCTTTTGTGCATGGCACGTGGGTAAGCCCCTTTTTCTGGACAGAATGGTGATTTCCTCCATGATGGAACCTTCCCCACCCCTGTTCCGGAAGCAGGAGGCAGATCCTCCTGGTGGGGTCCCAGAAGGCACTCAGCAGATGCGCATGCCATCCAGTATGGGCAGCTGCCCTGAGCCCCGACCTTGCCAGCCCAGTGTCCTAGAGCCTCGGGTTTAAACAGGAGACAACGAGCTGCCACTGAGGTGCTGACACGATCAAGCCATGAAAGGTACATGTGAACAAAGTTCACTCTCAACGTCAGGGAAGTATTCTTCCTAGTAAAACAAGCTTTGGGGATCCCTGGGTGGCGCAGCGGTTTGGCGCCTGCCTTTGGCCCGGGGCACGATCCTGGAGACTCGGGATCGAATCCCATGTCGGGCTCCTGGTGCATGGAGCCTGCTTCTCCCTCTGCCTCTCTCTGTGACTATCATAAATAAATAAAAATTAAAAAAAAAAAAAACAAGCTTTGCCCAAAACCACTTTTCTGGACCAGAGACAAGGCCAGGAGGAAAGAGCTTGCACTCCCAAGTGTCCCATCCAATGAGTCTTCCATCAGCAGCAGGCCCCCAGCCCCGCTCTCCATATAGAGAGGAAGAACAGAACAAACTAGGGCCTTTCCCTACAGCATCTGCCAAGTGATCCCTAGTGAGTGCCAGGGACACTCGTGCCACGTGGTCGCCACCCAGGGGCCCCAGGGACAACCCTCTGCTGGCAAGAAGTTGGGGAGAGCCGCGTCCCCTTCTCTGCCACGCATCCTGTTGGCACCTCCCGTCACGTCTGAGGATGGCTCCAGGATGCCACTGAGCTGGAGGGCCACTGAGCTGGAGGCTGACCCTGCCCAGGTGCCCGGCCAGGCCACCAAGCCCTCTAGCTCTGAGTTCAGAGACCAGCTGGAGGCTTTTTTCCACAGTGACTTCGCCAAATGGAGCATCCAGCCTGAGAGGAAATGTTGAGGCCAGTGGGAACATGTCAGGGGAGGCAACAACCACTGACCCACCCACACAGGTGGCCCTCAGCATCGCCAGCATGGCTCCCTCTGTGCCCACTGCCTTCGTGCTGGCAGTCATCCTCGGAGCCTGGCTTTCCTCCTCGGGCCTCTACACTGGCAGAGGCCTCCATGTGGGGCTTCTGCTCCTGGGCTCTGCCCTCCAACCAAGGCCACTCGAGCCGGAATCTCACAATACCGCCTTCTTCCAGCTACCCTCGCCCAGGCTCCCACCCTCTTCCCCTCACCTCAGGAGTCCTTGTGAGACATGTGTGAACACCATTCTGTTCTGACCCCAGACCTCTCATCCTTCCCATTTCCTTCTGTATCTTCTCCTCAGAGATCACAGAGCAAGGTTCTTCCAAGCCTGGACCGAAGGGCACATTTGTATTTGCTTCCACTGGCACTTCATCGCTCAGTGTACATTATCAACCACTAGTCTAGGACTGCCGCAACCCATGTTCACGGACGGAGATTTGTGGGCCACAGACGGGGATTCAGGCCTGCAAACCCACAAGACAGCTAGTTTTTGGTTTCAAATATTTGGCAGCAAGCAGTGGCAGCAATGTTCCTTGCTAACTTCTTTTACAGATGCGTTTATTTCCCTTTTTGCCTTCACACCATTGAGCAGAACGTTGGGGGTACCAGCCACACGATCCACCAGTGTGAACACGGCTTTTGTTTCAATATCAAATGGCCTAATGCACCCACTTTTTTAAGTTCCTGCAGTGATTCCTTTGGAGTCTTTCTTTCCCATCAGTTTTAACCTTCTTTTACAGCACCCTCCCCTTGTCTGTATGTTAATAAGCACTCAATCAACACTCATTGATGGCCACCTGGTGGCTCAGTTCATTGAGAGTCTGACTCTTGGTTTCAGCTCGGGTCATGACCTCAGGATCGTGGGATCGGACTAGGCTCCAGGCTTAGCAAGGGTCTGCTCCAGATTCTCTCTCTGCCCCCCCACCCCCACCCCCAACATATGTGCTCGTGCGTGCTCTCTAAAACAAATAAATCTTAAAATGATAAATATTCGCTGAAATAATAAATAAACAAAAATAGCCAAGTTAATTAAAACTGTAAGGAGAGCATGAACATTCGGCCAAGTCTGGACCACTACATCAGTTCACCTGATTCTGGCTATTTTTCAGATTTTCTGACAGGACAGTATTACCACATCATTATCTTCATTGGTCTCTGAGCCTCCGTTTCCTGCTCCAGAAGCGCATTTTCTAGGTCCGCCAAAGCCAGGAACCATGGTTTCTATTTCTAAACTTGTCTAAAATGTTTTGAAGACCATGACCCCCGTTCACAATCTTGCCTAGAATAGAGATTCCCAAACAGACTCTTCCCAGAGGTCTAGGCTCAGCAGATCTGAGGAGGGCCCGGCTTCCCTGAGGCCACAGTCACCTTCTGACCTTGTGACCTGTGGGCTCCAGCTTCAACTGTGTAAACACAAGAAGGGTTTATGTTCCATCAGGGTAACAAAAGTGACCCAGGAGGTCACAGGAGCATCATCATCCCTGGCACCACCTTCATCCTCAGCCACAAAGCCAGACTCCAGTCCTGAAATGTCTCAGGCTCCTCGTTTTCCTTCCACAGGCTGCTTCCGAGAATCTAGAGCACATGGAGCATGAAATACGACTGTGTGGCCTCAGGGGTAAGCCTCTGGGTGCTGGTGGCAACCATGCACATGGGGAATGACAGCAGTCCCCATGTTTCAGGGGCACAAGACCGCTAACAATTCTGTAAAGACTGACTTTGGTCAGTGGTCTGAATGTGCTGTGCTGTCTTAAAAGGAGTAATATGCAAGGATATAATTCATCTGCTAAAAATGTTCTCAAATCCAGAGCAGCTGTGTGCATAGACACACACAACCCACAATCCTAAACCTGAAGGTGGAGTCGGGGCTTTGTGGGGCCTTCCCCACTCTCTTAACTGCCCGGTGATACATGACTCACTCAGGACCCCACTAATAGCCTTGGCTGCTTCACCCGGCTGCAAACCATGGTCCCCTTGCCCTGCTAACCTCACATTTCTGGATCCATCCACTGTGTAAAGTACTCGACCTGCAGGGCGCCCTCCCATCCCTGGGGTGTGGCCTGGGGGCCTCACCCCAGGGAGCCTGGTAGCAATGCACATTATGGCCCACCCTCCACATCCTGGGCAGATGCCTGTGTCTCCACAAGCCCTTGGGTGACGAGTGTCCTTCATAGCTGATCCCACTGTCTGGCAAATTCCTCAATCTGAGGGCCCATTAGGTGCTGCTCCTTCTGCAGACCCCCTCTGGTCAGTGAACACAGTCCAGGCCTCTTTCCTCACTGAGTATTTACCTCCACGCCCATCTCAGATGTGTCCCTCCCAGAACATTTAAAGGAAGGTGTTAAACAAAACAAAACAAAAACCTTCCAAACATTCAGCTTCTCAAAGTGCTTGACTTGCACTGTGCATGGCACGGGCCTTGCCGCTCATGTGACTAGAAGGTGCCCACGTGTGCCCCAGGAGCAGGCACCTCGGAAAAGGGTCATTCCACTGCCAAGGTGGACACACACCCCATGGACGGTGGCAAACAGCACCCATGTTCACAGTGCTCTCCACATGAGGAAAACTTATCAAGAAAGCTACACAGATATTACCAGAGCGACTTCTCCACGATTTTGGTCCTGAAAACTTCCTCCCGGTCAAGGTTCACGGTGCAGTAACAATCTCGCATCTTGTTCGGCCCCGGATAAGTCGGAAGATTTTTGGCTTCACCTAAAAAGCAAATGTCAATACACCATCAAGTTAGCAGAACAGAATTATCTAGTTCCCTTGCTGATCACAGGCACATTTCCAAATAATGAACTTATTTCACAGCAATGCACCTGCTCTCCCTCTTGCACACTCCTAGCTCTTCATAATCCTGGTTCTCTGCCACCACAAGTTGAGATGCCACAGATGGTGCCACCCCTGGTATTGGAACACAAGCTAACATACAACCTCCAAAACCAACTGATAAAAGTAGGAATCCATCAGCCTACCAATTAGGATTATTTGTTTTGTTTTGTTCACACTAGCCCCCTTAATTTCTTTAATCTGCTAAATTAATTTCTTTAATGTTTAAATTATGGGATGATGCTTATACCCTAACATTTATCGTCTTAACCACCTTTAAGTGTAAAGTTTAGTAGCATTAAGCCTATTTACACTGCTGTGCGACCAGTCTCTGCAACTTTCTCATCCTGCAAAACTGAAGCTCCGCCTTCACGAGACATGTCGTCCCTGCCCCGCGCCGTGTGTCTGTGACCTGGCTCTTCTGGGTAACTCGGATGCGGGCTCATCAGTATTTGTCCTCCCAGGGATGCCCTCAAGGCCCACGGGTGTTGTAGCAGGTGTCAGGATCTTCCTCCCTGTCAAGACTGAGGATGGATCTGCTGCTTATCCATTCATTCCCTGGGTCGATTTTGATTCTGAATCTGATTTGACAGTTGGGGCAATAATTAGGGAGAAGGACTGTTTTTTATTGAGAAAACTATAAACTCCACCTGTTTGGGTTTTTTTCTAAGATTTTATTTATTTATTTGACGCATAGAGAGAGAGAGAGAGAGCACAAGAAGCAGGGGGAGGGGGAGACTCTCCTCTGAGCAGGGAGCCCAATGCAGGACTCAATCCCCGGCCCGGGATCATGACCTGAGCCCCAGGCGCTCCTCCTGGTGTCTAAACTATGGAAGAGGGATCCCTGGGTGGCGCAGCGGTTTGGCGCCTGCCTTTGGCCCAGGGCGCGATCCTGGAGACCCGGGATCGAATCCCACGTCGGGCTCCCGGTGCATGGAGCCTGCTTCTCCCTCTGCCTGTGTCTCTGCCTCTCTCTCTCTCATTCTATGTGACTATCATAAATAAATAAAAATTAAAAAAATTTAAAAAAAAAATAAATAAACTATGGAAGATTAGCCAGCCAGAAGTAAGTCCCAAGGGGACCCTGCTGCAGGTCAAAGGGCTCCCTCCCGCGGCCCCTCCCCACATGGAAGAACCTCAGGCAGCGGCATGCCCACGGCCCTGCAGACAACACAACTCCGCGTGTGACCCTGGGTCTGTCTAGAGAGCATTATCAAAGCCGGGATCGAGCGTCGCCTACTGTGAGCTCACAACAAGCCGGAACAGCAGGCCCCACAGCCCCGTTCAGGCAGCTACCCTCGCGGACGCTTGGGGGACATGTCCTCTGAGGAAGGAGAGCCTCGGACACCCTCCTGCCTGTCAGAGGCCTCTGGTCCCTGCGTCTGGTGGGGACCCCCGCGGGCAGCCCAGGGCTCAGGAGATGGGGCAGTTCCCAGGGCCCAGTCCCATGCCAACAACAGCCTGGGCACAGCCGGTAACACCTGGAGCAGCACGAAGGACCAAACTGCCTCAGTCTTGTCAAAACGGAAGAAGCAACAGAAACCAACCCCGAACCAGAGCACGAGTTCCTCGGAGCTCAGCACCAGAACACCCGGCACACACACCCTCTTCTGCGGAACTCCCATGGAAACAGACATTACAACGCACTTGGGGAAAGCCAGCTCATTTAAAAGGTGCCAGTCTGCGAGTGGGCACGCCAGGGCCTCCAGGAGGCAGGGTTAGCTCCGTGTCTCTGAAGCTTTCTGGACTTGCATGTAATGTCAGCTACACACCCCAGGGCAGTGCATGGGGTCCCTCCTGCCTGCAGCTGGGAAGAGAGCCAACTGTCCAGGATGGCAAGGGCAGGAGGACACACTAGCTCTCCAAGGCTCCTCCAGCTCCAAGAAACTTTTAATTAATCTATTTCTTTAAAGATTTTTATTTATTTATTCATGAGAGACACAGAGAGAGAGAGAGAGAGGCAGAGACACAGGCAGAGGGAGAAGCAGGCTCCATGCAAGAGCCCGATGTGGGACTCGATCCCAGGACTCCAGGATCAGGCCCTAGGCCCAAGGCAGGCACTAAACCGCTGAGCCACCCAGGGATCCCCCAAGAAGCTTTTAATTTAAAAGCATCCAGAGTTTTTTTCCTTTGGGGAATCATCAAGGGCTCTTAGTGGTGAAGAGAGAGAAATAACGATGAATGTTTTCTTGTAGAGCCACCTCAACATTACAGTGTTCCAGACACACTATGTCCACGCGTGGAGCACGTGAAAACACGGCCAACCTGCTAAGATGCATGTGAATCTGAGTCAGCCTCAAGTCAGGTGTTAAATGTCAAAAATGAGACTTTCAGAAGGCTCCTGGCAGATAGGAAAGGTCACGTGCACGTGCAGGCTGGGTGACCGTTCCACAGGCACCAGAGGGGATGGCAAGGTTCGCCAACACATGCAGAGAGGCAGCAGGCGGTGAGGGCAAGAGGGCAGACACAGGGCTCCATCTGCCAAGCTGACCCAACAAGGCCATCACTGCACACCTGGCAGGCTCCAAACAAGCGCTTTCTGTCTTCCTTCCCGGTTCTCCTTTGGGAACTGACCACTTGTGCAGCATTCACAAATGTTTAACCTTAAAACCAGCCCGACGTTGTGTACTTTCAGCTGACATCTTTATGATGGGAATCAGGGCTGACCATGCTGCCCTTCAGAATTTTTTTTGCAGTAAAAATGAGATATTTAGCTGCAAGTTCCTGTGTTTCTTAAAAGGAGAAAAGAAACTTGTTTGAAAGTCTCATAGGAGATGATCACTGGTGGAAAATAGAGAACTAGGGTTTTGTTCCTGTTTAGTCTCCAAAGAACCTCAGAACATGAGCAATAGTAGCTGACATTCCTCAAAGAGAGAAGGAAAAGATGAGACACCTGACACCGTGGACATGCAGTGGGAACACGGACTGGGCCGCATCCGCCCCACCCTGCTGGCCCCAGACACAAGCCCACTGGCGAGACGGCAGGGCCGCAGCGAGCTAGCACTGACAAGCCACGAGGACCAGGAGGGGGGCCCAGCAGGTGGCACCCCCAGCCACGTCCTCTGCCCCCTACAGTTGGGGGCCTCTCTGGACCAAAAAGGCTGAGAACGAGGGGTCATCCTGAGCCCCTGCCTGGGGCCCCACCCCAGGACAGGGATGACATCCCAGCTCTCAGCTGTCCCACCCCAACCATCTTCCTCCATGCTGACTACTTACCCCAAAGGCCAGAGGTCATTTCCCTGCCTGGCTACATATTACGATGCCTTTCTGTCCCTGAGGAAAAGCATGTCCTTTCTCAGCACATGGAGACATTGACATAGGAGAGTAAAGCTGTTTCAGTATACAGTAGGTGCTGAATTGTTGAGTGAATGGATGAATGAATAAATGACCACCAGGTAAAAGAAGGGTAAACATTGGTTTCATTTTAAGAACTAAATTAGGATCATTTTCATGAGTCTTTTTCCGACCAACTGTGTCTGGGGCATACACTCTGCACCCGCAACTGTGACAAGGGCAGAAGGTCAGGACCCGGACTCCATCCCCAAGCACCTCATTTACCAACAGAAGTAAAGGCAGCCCTTAAAACATGTGGAGCAAAAGACCTGGAAAGAGCAAACTCGGTTCCCACCTCAGGAACCAGGCACAGGGCCGGAAGCCCGAGGCTAGTCCTGAGGCCACAGTCCTGAGCCTCCACAGGCAGCACTTCCCGGGCCACAAACCCCCAGAGAGGGAGCCCCCACGTGTGGATGCCCACACTTCACTGCCACCAGGGGGTGTTCAGCCTCCTGAGGCGGCCCCTGCCCCGTCAGGACACTCTGGGGTGCCCAGGAACGGGGCTGTGTGTGCCCTGAGAGACACTACAGGAGGTGCAGACCCCAACACCACAAACTCTGCGGTGGCTCTCAGCCACCTCCCCTCTGAGAGCCGGATCTTGTTTGCTTCCCTCCAGTACCCCAGCACAGAGGCTGCCAACCTCGCACAAGCACCCAACACACAGCACCCAGCATGGAGGCTGCCGACCTCATACAAGCACCCAGCACACAGCACAGAGGCTGCTGACCTCGCACAACCACCCAGCACACAGCACCCAGCATGGAGGCTGCCGACCTCACACAAGCACCCTGCACACAGCACCCAGCATGGAGGCCGCCAACCTCGCACAAGCACTCAGCACACAGCACACAGCGTGGAGGCCACCGACCTCATAAGCACCTAGCATACAGCATGGAGGCCACTGACCTCTCACAAGCACCGAGCACACAGCACCCAGTACAGAGGCCGCTGACCTCACACATAGCACCCAGCACCCAGCTCAGAGGTCACTGACCCTGCACACAGTACCCAGCACAGAGGCCACTAACCTTGCACACAGCACCCAGCATGGAGGCCGCTGACCCCATGCATAGCACCCAGTACAACCTCAGGAAGAGGGGCGTGGAGGAGAGAGGAGAGGAGCCTGTGGATGAGAGCCCTACTGACAGTTCGCCCGTGAGCCTTGGGTGTTCTCTCTGGACATGCTCAGATGTACCAAGTCCACACAGCGCTAGTGGGTCCGCCCCAGCTCGGGAGCTCCACTTGTGGAAGGCAACATCGTGGGAGAATTTACACAGTCACTCTGGCTCAGCACACTTACATGGGTCCAGATCCTGGTAGCCAGCACAGCTTATCATAGCAACATAAGAGTCTATTTCCCCAAAAACATCACTTTCATGACTAAAATATTCTATTATCCTGAACATAGGTTTTTGAATATATTTTTTAATATGTTGCTATTTTATCACTTGATATTAAATAGAAAACTCCATAAAAACAGACAAAACTCGATTTCTAAATCAAGTTATAAGCAGCTTCTCTTAGTGCAGACAAGAGTCAGCCTGAAA